TCCAGATACAGCCTGGCCTGGCTCCCGTTGCTGGCAGTTTCAGAGCGTTAAGCAGTTTCCTCCAGGAAGGTTCCCTCCACTTGCATCCAGGCCGGTAGTGACCCTTCAGCCCTGTTTGGCTGTCTCTCCTGACTTAGCCCTCCTTGGTGGTTTGGACTCATCACTGCCTCAGACTGCCTTCTGACACCCCTTGCTCAGTTCATTGAGCCCCCAAAGTTCTTTAAAACACGTACAGCTTGGCTCACAGCCCCCACTCAAGAAGCTGTGTGTGTAGCACATGATGTGGAAGTCAAAGCCATCGGATCCTGTGCTCACATTTGGCCCCTCGACTCTCAGCCCCAAGGAAGTTTCCTGTCCCCCAGACCCATGTTCCACACACCCCTTGAGCTACAGCTCAGGCCCTCCAGGTCTCAGGGCACAGAGGCAGGGGTAGCCAAAGCCCCTGCTGCGTGATGGGGCCCTCTCTAGACACGCTGCCCTCTGTCACACAGGTGAAGTCTGCCCTGAGCCCTCCAGGAGAAAGCCTGAGGAACCCAGGGCCCTGGAGTGAGGCTTCCTGCCACCCTGGGGATGCCTGGAACACGGCGCTCCCAGCTGAGCCTGACCCTGACTTTGATCCCAACACCATACTCCAGACACAGGACCACTTGGGTCAGGACTATGAGAGTGTGCGGGCCCTGGCAGAGGTAACACTTCTTTTTCAAGAAATGCTCGAGTCCTTACCCTGTGCCAGAAACTCCTGCGCAATGATCCCAGGGGAGAAGGCAGTGACTGACATGTTCCCTGTCCTCAAGGAGCTTTTATCATGGCCAAGAAGATGTTAGACAACTCATTAGATGCGGGTGTGATGGGATCACATGAGAAGGTAGCCCAGGTCAGGCTGGAGGTCAGGGAAGACACCTTGGAGGGAAGGACTTTTAAGCTGAGGCTTGAATGAGAAACAGAAAGCAGGTAAACCCAGGGGTGCTGGCCAGGACCTGTGCAAAGGTAGGAAGGGGGCCCAGTGGAGGAAGGGAAGACCCGGGTGCCCGCAGCACAGACGCTGGGGAGGCCATGGCCAGAGGAGAGACTAGAGAGGCAGGTGGAGGTGGAACAGGCAGAGGGAGCGGTGTGGATTTCACCTAAGAGCAGAGCTGGCACTGAGGGGTTTCAGCAGGGCAAGGCCAGACAGGAGCACACTGCCAGGTCCCTTTACCCTACCCTAAGCCCTTGCCAGCTCCCTCCAGGTGGTGCCAAGAGGCCTCTGAGAGAGGATGTGGGGCCCAGCAGTGAGGCAGGGACCCCCTCTGGCCCTGACCCTGGGCTCTGCTGGTGGGCTGGGATGGGGAGGAGCACCCCTTTGACCTTCCCTGACCCTCACCCCAGCCTTGGGCCACCTCTCTCCAGCGCCGCAGGGCCCGGCTGGAGGAGGCCATGGCCCTGTTTAGCTTCTGCAGTTCCTGTAGGGACCTCCAGTTGTGGCTGGAGAAGCACACAGCGCTGCTCCAAAGGGTGCAGCCCCAAGCTGACATCCTGGAAGTCACACAGCTCAAATATGAGGTACAGCCCTGGGAGCTTGGCACCTCCTCCTCGCCTTGCCCCTGCCTCCCTGTGGTCCGCTGCTGTAACTCAGTTCTCCAATTTAACTACCGTCCTGCCTAGGGGAGGGGAGTAGAGAGCTGGCCTGAATTTCCAGGGCCTCCTGGCCCTTAAGACTCAGATGGCTGTCCTTCCAGGGGCAGGCAACGTGGGCACCCCTGTAGCAGAGAGGACCACTGAGGTACATCACAGGCTTGAGGGGAGTGCGGAAAAAGAAAAAGCCCCCCAAGAGGCCTGGGTCCTCCTTTTCCCTAGAACTTCCTCACTGCCCTGGCTGTGGGAAAGGGCCTCTGGGCTGAGGTCAGCAGCTCTGCTGAGCAACTGAGGCAGAGATATCCTGGGAACTCCACACAAATCCAACGACAACAGGAGGAACTGAGCCAGAGGTGAGAACGAGGCAGGAGTGCAGGTGGCGAGGCAGGCGGACGCAATGCCCAGCCTGGGCCTGACTCACCTCCTCCCACCATGCCAGGTGGAGAGGCTGGACATGTCCGAGGCACAGGGAAGGGGCAAGGGACAGCCAGTCTGGCAGCTTCTGTCATGTGAGGCTCTGGCCAAGGCTCCAGGATGGATGGGGAGGTGTCCCTGTGGTGGAGACAACCTCGTACCCTCTGCCCAGGTGGGGGCAGTTGGAGGCCCTGAAGAGGGAGAAGGCCGTGCAGCTGGCGCACAGTGCGGAAGCGTGGAGTTTTCTGCAGGAGTGTGGACCCACACAGGTCCAGCTGCGAGACGTGCTCCTCCAGCTGGAAGCCCTGCAGCCGGGGAGCTCAGAGGACACCCGCCACACCCTGCAGCTGGCCCAGAAGACGACCCTGGTGCTGGAGAGGAGGGTCCACCTCCTCCAAAGGGTGGTCATAAAGTACGGCCAGTGCAGTGGTGGCACTGGGAGGCAGTGACGACCATGGGAAGGCGTGGGCAGGGTAGTGAAATGAGGAAGGGACAGAAACTGGGCTGGGGAGAGGACAGGTAGGAAGGGCTGTCAGAAGCGCTCTGGCAAAGGTGGGGGGATGATCAGCAGAAAATGCTCCTGGGGACAGGAAGAGCCCTATGTTCTTGCTGCCCCCAGGTCAAGGGTGGGGTGGGCCATTCAGAGTCACCACCACTCTCCCTGGGGGATGCAGGTTTGGGAGGAGGACATGCGCCTGGGGCACTGGGCCTAGGACAGGTCACTGACTGTGCAGCGCACCCTGTCTCCCAGGGTCGAGGAGTCAGGCCACACAGAGAGCCAGCCTCTGCAAGGACAGGTGGAGACACTGCAGGGGCTGCTGAAGCAAGTACAGGAACGAGTGGCCCAACAGGCCCGGGGCCAGGCTGAGGCTCAGGCCCGGCAGAGCTTCCTGCAAGAGAACCAGGAACTGCTACTGTGGGCAGAGAGTGTCCAGGCTCAGCTGCGCAGCAAGGAGGAGTCGGTGGATGTGGCCTCGGCTCAGCGGCTGCTGAGGGAGCACCAAGACCTGCTGGAGGAGATCCACCTGTGGCAGGAGAGGTCAGGACAGGAGGGCAGAAGGGGTGTGCTTTGGGCTGGGCCCAGGGCTCTGGGCTCTGGGTTCAGGCCCAGAAAGAGCATGCAGGAAGTAGTGTGATTTCCCCGGGGAGGGGCCCAGACTGGTTGGCATCTGGCATCTGGTGCTTGAGGACTGGGTCAGGCAGCCTGTACGCTTTAAGGAGAGACCCAGGACAGTGAGCTGCCTAGGAGGCTCTCTCCAGCCCAGGCCTGGCCGGCCCCCTCCAGGTGGGTCCGATGCGTTGCTTTCAATCAGGGCATCTACCCTCCCCTGCCATCCTGGGTAACACGGACCCCACTGGCCCCTAAGTGGAATGACTCAGGACCCACCCATGGGCCTGAGATACCCACCTTCTCAGTCAGGCGGTGCCTCTCCTCCTGCAGGGACGACGTTATGGGCTGGCAGGCAGGCAAGGCCACCAGGGACAGTCCACAGGCTGTGCCCCACCTGAGGGTGCCTGGCAGGTGGTCAAGTCAAGTGGGCACTGAAATGCATCTGGTCCTCAGCTTGCAGACTCCAGTACCTGGTTCAGGGCTGCAGCAGCTCAGAGGAAGTGGAGCCTTGCTCTAATTCACACAAGGGTGTTACCTGTTCCCAAGCCACCTGCTGAAAGGGGCACCTTTTCTAATTGTTCAAAGGCTCCATCGGGGCTTGCAGTGGCCCTGGGATCAGGTGCTTGTGTGGCTTGTGTGATTTTTCCCTCTTGCGCTGTGCTGCCTCCGAATGTCCTCTAGGCCCGGCATCGGCCGTTGACAGTCCACACTTAAGGACGGCCAGCTGGAGCTGGTGGGAGCTTGGGAACCCCTGCAACCTAAGCACTCTGCTGGGCCTATCACATTCAGTGTCTCATTCATGCTCCAAGATGCATGAACCCTGGAGGTGAGAGGAGGAGGAGGCTGACAAGGGGGGCCTGCTGGGGTTTGACTCTCTGCCTGTCATCCCGGTCAGGCTGCAGCAGCTGGACGCTCAGAGCCAGCCCATGGCAGCCTTGGACTGCCCAGACTCCCAAGAGGTGGCCAACACTCTGAGGCTCCTGGGGCAGCAGGGCCAGAAACTGAAGGCTGTGTGGGAGCAGAGGCAGCAGTGGCTGCAAGAGGGGCTGCAGCTGCAGAAGTTTGGCCGAGAAGTGGATGGTTTCACTGCCACCTGTGCCAACCACGAGTCCTGGCTGCACCTGGACAACCTTGGGGTATGGAGCAGGAATGTGGAGCTAGGCTGTCACTCCCTGTCACTGGAGGGCGCTCATCCCCTTGGGTCCGGAAGCTGGGCTGGGACAGTGGCGGGTGAGATGGTCCTGACTCCCACCCTCCCAGGCATGACCTCAGGTCTCTGCACTCCCAGGAGGACGTGAGGGAGGCCCTGAGCCTGCTGCAGCAGCACCGGGAATTTGGGCGGCTCCTGAGCACCCTGGGGCCTCGGGCAGAGGCTCTGCGGGCACGCGGCGAGAAGCTGGTTCGCAGCCAGCACCCAGCTGCACACATGTGAGCCTGGCCTCAGTCTGCAGCACCTGCAGACGACCCTTTCTCAGCCTGCACAGACGGCCGCCCTGGGGCTGGGAGAGTGGGGGGTGAGGGGAGAGTGCACCTCGCGCTGCGGTGGGAGTCCTCTCCCATGCCCTCCTCCAACTCCCCCGGCCCTCCAGGGTCAGAGAGCAACTGCAGAGTGTCCAGGCACAGTGGACCAGGCTCCAGGGCAAGAGTGAGCAGAGGAGGAGGCAGCTGCTGGCTTCCCTCCAGCTCCAGGTGAGGGGCAGGGCCCAGGGCGCATGCGGCCTCCCTGAGAAGAAGGCCTGAGACCATGTGGAGCTCTGTGCAGCCTACAGAACACTTCCCTCACCTGCTGTGTCATTCATCCTCTCGACACCTTGTGTGAGGCAGGCAGCACAGCTCAGGTTTTTCCTGATGAGGAAAACTGGGGCTGTGGCCACACCGCCCGCAGACGCAGGGCCGGGCCTGATGTCTGGGCCTCTGAACTAAGCCCACGCTCCCCCTCCTCCCACCGCGCCCTTTCCCCAGTGCTTTGGGCCACACTTTAGGGTCTTGCACAGGTCGTAGCACCAGCTGCCAGCCTTGGCTCTGTCCAATGTTTGCTCAGCCCCCACAGCAGAGCAGGGCTGGAGGCTCCCTGAGCTCCCCTGTGTTTGGAGAGGTACAGCCGTAGGGGATCTGATGTCGGCTAGAGCAGCAAGGACCCGACAGGCGTTCCTCCTCTCTAGGCACAGCCCTTCTGCCCCACACGGGGAGCAGCAACCCCAGGCCCCACCCAGAACCAGCTCTGGTCCTGCTTTTCCCCGTGGGGGATCCCTTCCCTTAGAGGTAGGTCCTTGCAGCAGCCCCCACCCCCATGCTCTGAGACCCACGCTCGCCCGGTTCTTGGCAGGAGTGGAAGCGGGATGTGGCGGAGCTGATGCAGTGGATGGAGGACAAGGGGCTGATGGCGGCACATGAGCCCTCCGGAGCGCGCAGAAACATTCTGCGGACACTCAAGCGGCACGAAGCAACTGAGAGCGAGCTTCTCGCCACCCGCAGACACGTGGAGGCCCTGCAGCAGGTGGGGGACACGGGACAGAGAGTGCAGAGCCTCCTCGTCTTCAAATTCCCAACCCTACTGCACCACCTGTTTTCATGGAAGAGTCTTTGAAGGAAGAATCTGCCTCAGCTTGAACTTAGAACCTCCCTCCCCAAGCCTCCTTGATGCTGCTGGCATCCCCTTGGCACCCAAACCAGGCCCAAAGCTGCCGCCATCCATCCCTTCCCCCTCAACTCTCCGTGGCAAGTCCCAGAGCTGACCACCTCTACCAGAACACGGCTTTCCCCAGCCACCGACCTAATGCCGGCTCACCTCACTCCATTTGCCGGGGTCAGAGGACCCTCCTACCTGCAGTTTTGGGGCCACATGAACTGCTTTCGTCCAGGCAGCCTGTGGAATGCAGCTGTGGCCAGCCCCTCACCTCCACTGCCACCCAGGTCCAGCCTGCTGCGGCCACAGGTGGTACCAGCAGCTCAGCCAAGCTCCCTGGGCCTTTCTCTCCACTCCAGGTCGGCAGAGAGCTGTTCAGTGGGAGGCCCGGTGGCCAGGAGGACATACAGACTAGGCTTCAAGGCCTGAGGAGCAGGTGGGAAGCCTTGAACCGCAAGATGACTGAGCGTGGGGACGAGCTCCGGCAGGCTGGACAGCAGGAGCAGCTCCTGAGGCAGCTGCAGGTCCGCTGGGAAGAGGGACAGGGCACAAGAGGGAGACGGAGTCCAGGCTGGGCTGGACAGAACGGGGAGGGAGAAGTCTGGGTGTTCTGACCCTGGCTCTGCAGCCTTTGGAGGCCTCTGGCCTAGGACAAGCTGAGCGTGGCTTTCCCCTCAGTCGGCCAATACAGGAATTCTCTCCTGTGTGCCCAGCGTGTGGTCAGCACAGCTTGAGTCCCCCAGGGAGAAAGAAGTGTGAGGGAACAGGGGAAGATTGGGCACTTCTGGTTGGGGGTTGGCAGTGGTGGGGACAGAGGTCCCTGGCGAACCTGGTCCTGCAAATCCTACAGTCCCAGAGCCCGGGAAGGCCACTTGCTGTGCTATACACGGAGAGCCTAATGCAGCTCCCTGCGTCCCTCCCCAGGATGCAAAGGAGCAGCTAGAGCAGCTCGAGGGGGCCCTGCAGGGCTCAGAAACGGGGCAGGACTTGCGCTCCAGCAGGAAGCTGCAGAAACGGCACCACCAGCTAGAGAATGAGAGCCGGACCCTGGCCGCCAAGATGGCTGCCCTCGCCTCCCAGGCCCGTATCGTGGCCGCCTCCCCGGCCATCCTGGAAGAGACCCAGAAGCACCTCCGGAGGTGGAGCCTGTCCTCCCACCCACCTGTGTGGCACTCCCCCGTGTGAATTTAAGTTCCCACAAGGTGGCACCCACAGGACTGGCGTGTCTAGACCTCCTCCCTTCTTATGGGTAGAGTCATTCTGGATGGGATGGTTGGAGACCCCATTATACATCCTCAGCAGGACCCCCACAGTGTGGTCAGGCAAGTCATCTAGGCCATGAGGTGGGGCCCTGGCGCCCTTCCGCTGCCTCTCTTTGTCAGATGGGGCTTTGCTCTGTTCCCTGGTCTTGTTCTTCACGGGCCCCGTCTGGGCCAAGGAAAGAACCAGGGGCCTTGTCCTCACTCTGTTCCCAGCCTCTCCCATCTCTTCCTCCTCCTCCTAGGCTGGAGCTTCTGCAGGGGCATCTGGCCATCCGGGGCCTGCAGCTGCAGGCCTCAGTGGAGCTGCACCAGTTCTGCGACCTGAGCAACATGGAGCTCTCATGGGTGGCTGAGCACATGCCCTGCAGCAACCCCACCAGCTATGCCGAGTGCTTGAATGATGCCCAGAGCCTTCACTGCAAGCACAAGGTAATAGCCCCCTTCTTCCTACATGATTCCGGACATCCACTTCCCAGACCTTAGAAACGCTCTGCCCCTACTCAGGTGTCCTGGCCTCTAAGCCCTCCCCACTGGGTATCCCAATTTCCAAATCTCTGCCCCAGCTATTTTGACCCTGGGGATCTTGCCATGATTGGGGCCTGGAGCCACATCCATGGCTCTGCTCCAGATGCCCCTGGGTTAAGAGCAGCAGCCTCTCAAGCCGCTCTGTGGCAGGAGCTCCAGGTGGAGGTAAAAGCTCACCAGGGGCAGGTGCAACGGGTGCTGAGTTCTGGGCGGAGCCTGGCAGCTTCAGGGCACCCCCAAGCCCCACACATCATGGAGCAGTGCCAGGAGCTGGAAGACCGCTGGGCAGAGCTGGAGAGGGCATGTGAGGCGCGGGCCCGGTGTCTGCAGCAGGCTGTCACTTTCCAGCAGGTAGGATGCAGGGAGGTGGGGTTGGGGGACGAGGCAGAAGTCAGGGCTCCTTGAGGGGCCACCTGTGGGACTCTCAGGGAGGCGGGTCAGTGGGGGCTCTGGGCCGGGAGCTGATGGGTGCCCCATGGGCACAGAAGCCCCTTTGTGCAGCACGCTGGAGAGCAGGGGCAGATGTCTCCAGGGCTGAAGGAGAGTCCTGAGATCCTCTAGGTGAGTCGGCCCCACTCTTGGCAGTACTTTCTGGATGTGTCAGAGCTGGAGGGCTGGGTGAAGGAGAAGCAGCTGCTGGTGAGCAGTCAGGACTATGGCAGAGACGAGGCAGCCACCCTCAGGCTCATTAAGAAGCACCAGGTACCACGTCCTGAGCCTCCCCTCCAGTGTGGCTTGGGTGATGATGGACCACAGGAAGAGGGCTGCCACCCTCGCTCTCTCAGAGGCATGGAGCCCTGCTCTTGCTTCCTGGAGACACAGCCCCATCCCCACTGACCACCCAGATCCCACAGTGCCCCTTCTTCCAAGGCAACCAGGGCACTGTGAAGTACATGCTTTCTCCCTTCATCATCTTATGAGTCTTGCCTCTCCCTGTGGCTTTGGGGTTTCTCCGCCTACTCTTGCTTCCTCTCTACCCCACCCCTCGCACTTTTCTCCTCTGTTGAGGTCACCTCCCCAGCCTGCTCCATATCTCCCACAGGTTTATTCCTCCCAGGCTTTGCCTCTCATCCTTTGAGCTAACTAAATGCCCTTCCTGAAGCCGACCTCCTCCCACAAACATCCCCTGGCTGAAGGGAGGGAGGTCTCGAAGTCCCCTTCCTCACTCCTTAATTTGGACTCCCAGAACCACACAAGCTCCAAAGCCTGGGGCCCACAGCAGTCCCGGTTCCTGCTGTCACTGAAGTGTCCTCCTGTCTGGGCATGCTTTCTGCACAGCCCCAGTTCCAGTGTGTTCTGCGACAGGACTTTCAGAGAATCTTTTCTAAAGGCCTGTAGCCTTGGCCTCACGGAGCACCCCCCCGGTTATACTGGACAGCTTGCTTAATTCTGCCTCTCTCTCACACATGGAGGTTGGGGTTCAGTCTGATGCCTCCTGTGCCCTCCCTTCCTTGGCCCAGATTAGCCAGCATTCACCTTTCCCTGCTAAATAATGAGCCCTCAGTGGGCACAGACCAGGTGTTCACTTAATGGAACAATAAGTCCTTACTCCATCAGTGATGGGTAGATGGATGCTGGGTGGGCGGATGGATGAGTTGAGGTAGATGGATGGGTGTGTGAGTGGTGGGTGAATGGATGAGGATTGGTGACTAGATGGGTGGGGGACGGACAGGTGGGTGGATGAGTCACCCAGGCTGAGCCTGGCATGGGTCCTCGTTCATCACAGGCTCTACGGGAGGAACTAACCATTTACTGGAGCTCCATGGAGGAGCTTGACCAGAGAGCCCAAACCCTCACTGGCCCTGAAGCCCCTGAGCAGCAGCGTGTGGCGCAGGAGAGGCTCCGGGAGCAGCTGCAGGCACTGCAGGAGTTGGCGGCCACACGGTGAGGGCACCGTACCCCCTCTCATCAGTGGGTACAGGAGGCCTAGCCACAGCTGACTGTTCCCGTGCCATGGCCCTGAGTAGAGCAGAACCCATGACCCCAGGCTGTAGAGAGGTGCTAGGAGAAGGGTATGCGTTGCTCACCTCTTTCCATAAATTCTTCAGTGAGGCCCCACAACTCCCTGCTGTCCATCTCCCCACATCTCCCCATGTCCACACCCTCCTCTGCCCCTACACTCGCCCTGCTGGGTCTACTACTGCCTGAATCACGAGCTGCAGGCTTGGACAGAGACCATGAGTAACCCCATTCTTCAGATTGGCCCCTCTGGCTGGCCTGGCTGGCCCCCGGGGGGCGGGCAACTCACTTCTGGGGAACCACGGGCTGTCACCACAGGGACCGGGAACTGGAGGGGGCCCTGAAGCTGCACGAGTTCCTGAGGGAGACCGAGGACCTGCAGAGCTGGCTGGCACGCCAGAAGCAGGCGGCCAAAGGAGGGGAGAGCCTGGGGGAGGACCCCGAGCACACCCTGGTGAGAAGAGGGCCAGGGTCAAGGAGGGTGTCCTGGGGCAGAGCCTGTGGGGTAGGGAAGCTGGCCCTGGCGGGGCGGAGGGAGAAGGTGGTGCAGAGCGGTGAGCCCTGGCTGAGGAGGACCTGCTGAGTGGAGCGGGCAGACGCCGTGGCCGTCCAAGCCCATATCACCCAGTTGGGCACTGAGGTGCCTCAATTCCCAGGCTGCTTGCCGCGTAACCATTCGGGGGCTACCCTGTCACCCACTCCCGTCTTCTCAGCACCTCTGCACCAAGTTTGCAAAGTTTCAGCGCCAAGTGGAGATGGGCGGCCAGCGGGTGGCCGCCTGCCGGCTGCTGGCGGAGAGCCTGCTAGCGCGTGGGCACAGTGCTGTCCCCATGGTGCGTCAGAGGCAGCAGGATCTGCAGTGAGTGCCCAGTGGGCCAGGCCAGCATGGGGTGTGGGGGAAGGAGCTGGGCAGGCAGGGTCCAGAGTGGTAAGAGAGGATGGCATGCTGTGAGGGCCGCGCTGGCCCCGACTGCCCACGGGGCTCTGCAGGGGGCCTAGCTCCGGAGGAGCCAAGCCCGCCACAGGCTCTGGACTGTGAAGGGAGGTGAGGCTGGGTGTGCAGGTCAGAGTCCTGCTCCCGGGACTGAGAGCAGGAGCTGTAGGAAGATGGTGGGGCCGGATGTCAGGGCCTTCCCCTGAGCTGTCCCAGCTCCTGTGCTCACTCGGGACAGCTCATGCCTCATGTCGTTCCTAGTTGTCCACTTGGCTGATTTGGATCCACTCCCAGCCTGTGAGCTTTCAGGCAAGCATGACTCGCTCATAACCCCTAGCCCAGAGCCTGGCCTGGCAGAAGCCTTAGGAGCTCAGCGAGTTGCAGAGTTAATGAAGAATGGAGAGATGTGACCTCTGCCCACAAAGCGTCTGTAATCATAATCTGGGTGACGCGCTATAAATCAAAGCACAAGATGTAAGGAGTGTCGCAGAGCACAGATACCATTCAGTGCCCAGTATTACAGCATCAAAACATGGAATTCATGGTAAAGCTAGAAGACAGGCTCCCGGGAAGAAAGTGCGTAGGCAGGGCCACAGGCGGGAGAGGTTTTAAGGAGGAGGAGCTTCGAGCAAGTTCCGATACAACCCAGAGAGGAGGGGGCTGACCAGACCTAGCGAGAGGGAGGAAAGAGGCAGCCCAGGGCTGATCCCCTGCTGGTCTTCCACACGCCACGGGCAGGGCCACCTGGTTGGAGCTGTGGGAGCTGACCCAGGCCCGAGGCCACGCGCTCCGAGATGCCGAGACCACCCTCAGAGTTCACAGAGATCTCTTGGAAGTCCTCACCCAGGTCAAGGTGTGAGCTGGAGGGGTTGCTAGAAGTGGATACATTCCAGGCTTAGTGCCCACCCTCCATTCCTCATCTCCTTGGCATTCTCCTTTCCTCAGGAGAAAGCCGCGAGCCTCCCCAACAATGTGGCACGGGACCTGCGTGGGCTGGAGGCCCAGCTGAGGAGCCACCAGGGGCTGGAGCGAGAACTCGTGGGCACCAAGCAGCAGGTGAGCCCAGCTGGCTGCCTTTCCGACCCAGGCCCCTGCAGCCCCCTCAGGCTAGCCTGCCTGTTCCTCTAGATTTTCCACTGTCCCTCAGGGCCTCCCATGGGCCTACTGTGCATGGCAGGATGTGGCCCAAGGGGGCCAGAGTTCCCAGGCAAGGGATATATCTGTGGGATAGTCAGGAAGACGTGACCCTTGCCTCCCTGTTCCCTGCCCCTCCCGCAGCTGCAGGAACTGCTGGAGACTGCAGGCAGGGTGCAGAAGCTGTGCCCGGGGCCTCAGGCCCATGCGGTGCAGCAGAGGCAGCAAGCTGTGATGCAGGCGTGGGCAGCGCTGCAGCGCCGCGTGGAGCAACGCAGGGCCCAGCTGGAGCGGGCACGCCTCCTGGCCCGCTTCCGCACAGCGGTGAGGGCTCCCGCCCCTTGGGTGGCGTCTATGCACATGTGTGTGTGCTGTACCACACATGGGCATGCACGCATGAGGCCCTCCAGCTCCGGAGGGAGAACAAACATGAACTCAGGCGGGAGAGCATGAGCACACGGAGGTCAGTCTGGCTGGTCAGGGGCTGAGCACATGGGCATAGCAGTGACACCTTAGGGTCTGGGTCAGTGCCAGCAAGGTGAGTGGCAGGGCAGTCATGCAGGGTCCCAGCCGGGGCTGAGAGTAAGAACGGCCCAGGAAAGCTCATAACTGGAGACCCAGATGATAGACAGTGACCTCTGGATCAGCCAGCATCTATTCAATGTCCTTCTTCAGCCCCCTGCTGAAGCCGCAGGTAGAGAGAGGAGGGCAATATAGAAGCTATGGAAGGTGGAACTTCTGCCCGCGTGGAGCCCTCCTTCCTGGGCAGATGAGCCCAAAACCCAGAGAATCAGACTGGAACAGTGGGTCCTGGCCATGGGGTGTCCCTGGCATCCCCCTGTCCTGGGACCTGGCAGACCAGGAGGCCTAAACTGACACTACAAAAAGGCTTGAGTTTAGGGACCCAACTCTGCTGCTTTGCTGGCAGTGTGAGCTTGAGCAAGGCACTTAACCTTGGGTTTGTCACGCACTTAGAGTTTACAAGACTGTTTGTGCTATTTACCCTTCCTCTGTGCAATGAGATATTTGGTCAAGGACCTGAAGTCCCTCCAGCACCAGTCTTGTGTAGTTGTATACAAATCAGCAGAAGACAGTCTGTAAGGGTTAAGTTAGTAATTCAGAGAACACGGAGAGCAGTGCAGTGTCAAATACCAGGGAAGGCTTCACCAGGCAAAGGCAGCCAAGAGGCCATTGAAGAGCAGGCGAGCTTTCTTTCCCCATCAAGCAGTCTTGATGAGGCTGATCTTGCTATAGCCGCCAGTCCGCTCATGGCCTCATCCAGGTGAGCTCTGTAGAGATGGGAAGGCAGGAGGAGGACCTTCTAAGCAGCAGCGTCAGCAGGAGCAAAGGACAGAGATGTGTAGTGGTGAGGGTCTGGCTCACATGGAGGATTCGTGGTTCTGGGAGGATCGGGTTGGATGAGAACGGAGAAACCAAGTGACAAAGGGCCACACGTGCCTCAGCCGAGGCCCCAACCCAGGTCGGCTCGAGCTGTGTGAGGAGTGGACTCAGGTGGGCTGCAGTTGCCTCGGCACCTGGTTTCCTGCTGAAACCCAGCCCTCACCTGGCCCTCCCCCTCCGTGTCTCCCTCACCCGCTCTCCCTCCGTGTCTCTGGGATCAGGTGCGCGACTACGCCTCCTGGGCAGCCCGCGTGCGCCAGGACCTCCAGTTGGAGGAGAGCTCGCCAGAGCCCAGCCGTGGCCCGCTGAAGCTCAGTGCCCACCAGTGGCTCCGGGCGGAGCTGGAGGCCCGGGAGAAGCTGTGGCAGCAGGCCACCCAGCTGGGCCAGCAGGCACTCCTGGCTGCAGGGACACCCACCAAGGAGGTGGGCCCCCTTTCCTGGTGCCCCCACATACCCTAGCTGACCTAGCCTGTGCCTGGCCACCTGGTGGCCCACCCTACTGTGCCATGCTGGCCTTTCCTCAGAGGCTTCCCTCAGGATCCAGTCCTCACCTCACCCACACCACCCTCCCCAGCTGAAGCTCCTCACGTGTCCATCCCCAGGTCCAAGAAAAGCTTCGAGCCCTGCAGGACCAGCGGGACCAGGTGTATCAGGCCTGGGCGCGGAAGCAAGAGAGGCTGCAGGCTGAGCAGCAGGAGCAGCTCTTCCTCAGAGAGTGCGGCCGCCTGGAGGAGATCCTCGCGGCCCAGGAGGCAGGTCCCGTCCCGCCCTCACACTCCGCATGCCTCCTGCTCCTCCTTTCTGTTCTCCTCTCTCTGCTCAGTCCCTTTCCTCCTGCCTCTCTGGCTTTTTTTCTAATATGGGGCAGCTGTGCATGAGTCCATCCAGGTGAGCTGGGTGAAGCGCTGAGGCCCCTGAGCTTCCACTGACATCCCCAGACTGAGCCCCAAAGAAGTTGGCCAGAGGCTGGTCGTGCTCCCATGTGGTGCAGAGGTTGGGGTGTCACAGCCTCCCAACCTGGGCTCACACTCCTCCTCACAGCTCCACGCCAAGCTCAGCGGGCACTCCTAAGGCCCTGCTATACCCAGAGTGCCCATGGGCACAGCCTAGCACAGACTGTAGCTGGAGGGGCTGGCTGGCTGGAAGGCATGGTGGCCTCTTTGACTTTTCTGTGAATCCAGGTCTCCCTGAAAACCAGTGCCTTGGGGGGCTCGGTGGAAGAGGTAGAGCAGTTGATTCGCAAGCATGAGCTCTTCCTGAAGGTTCTGACTGCCCAGGACAAGAAGGTAACGGGCTCAGGAGTCCTGGCCGTGGTCAGAGTGTGGGGGTCGGGAGAGAGTCCTGAAGGGGGTCACAGGGAGCTTGGTGTGTTCCCGGAGGCAGTACTGATGAGCCTGCGAGGCTGGGGGCCTGGTTGGGGTTGACTGAGCAAGTTGTATGTGTGGCTCAAGAAGAGGGCCCAGGGTGAGATGGGCCACACTGCAGAGACCCACGGAGGGCATTCGGCTCTGTGCACACCACGCGGTCCTTGGGGAGCAGACTGGTCTGGCTTGTGGCTGGGAGGATCAGACACCCCTTAGCCGTGCGGGGCTGAGGAAAGGGCTGTGAGCCCTGCGGGCCAGACCCTGCCCCAGCCCAGGGTGGGAGAGCAGTAGCTGTGCCCCTGCCCCGCAGGAGGCAGCCCTGCGTGAGCGGCTGAAGACGCTCCGGCACGCCCAGGTGCAGGACCTGCTTCCTGCCCTGCTGCAGCGCCGGGTGAGAGTGAAGGAGCTGGCGGAGAGCCGGGGACACGCCCTGCACGCCTCCCTGCTGATGGCCAGCTTCACCCAGGCCGCAACCCAGGTCAGAGGGCACCCCCAGCCCAGGGCCTTCCACCGGGACCACGCAACCATTTTCAGCTGCCTTCACACCACAACACTGTGAGGCAGAAACAGGTTCAGGGAGTGGATGGCTGTGCTGGAGCTCAGACCATGGGATCTAAGCCCCTCTGTGTGGAGACCCCACCAGTGTCCTGAGCTCTAGCAGGGCCAGGGCAAAGAGAGGCAGGGAAGGGAGCAGAGCAGCCCAGGGTCCCAGGAGTAGGGGCCACACCTCCAAAACGAGAGCCCACCCAAGGCCCTGCCCGGCTGCTTCCTGCAGCACGTCTTCCGTCTTCTGTCTTCCGGAGCTAGAACCTTCAGGGCTCATTGACCAGGTGCTGCCCACTCGACCCCTGAGGCCAGCCTCCTGGGAATGGCTAGGGCTAGGCCTGTGGCATCTGGGGCCCAAGGCTGCAGAGCATCAGCGTTCATGTTCCACCCCCACCAGGCTGAGGACTGGATCCAGGCATGGGCCCAGCAGCTGAAGAAGCCGATCCCTCCTGGGGACCTGAGAGATAAGCTGAAGCCCCTGCTGAAACACCAGGCCTTTGAGGCTGAAGTCCAGGCCCATGAGGAGGTCATGACCTCTGTTGCCAAGCTAACAACCGGGCCCTCAGCCCCATGCCTGCCCCAAAGTGTGGCCCAGGGGTGATGTCGGCCTTAGGAGGAAGGGCGGCAGGCAAGATGTCCTGTGTCCCCTCTCTCCCTCCAGAAGGGAGAGGCTCTCCTGGTACAGAGCCACCCTCGAGCGGGAGAGGTCTCCCAGCGGCTGCAGGGCCTTCGGAAGCACTGGGAGGACCTGAGGCAGGCAGTGGCCCTCAGGGCCCAGGAGCTGGAGGACAGGCGGGACTTCCTGGAGTTCCTGCAGAGAGTGGACCTCGCAGAGGCCTGGATCCAGGAGAAGGTGTAGCCCCAGCCAGCGGGGGGAGCTGAGAAATGGGGGGAGGAGCCCTCCCTTGACAGGAGGGAGCCCCAGCAGCAGGTGCCAGGAGCCTGGGTTGGTGCTCAGAGCGCTCCCTCCCCACCCTCGGCCTTCACAGGAGGTGATGGTGAATGTTGGTGACCTGGGCCAGGACCTGGAGCACTGCCTGAAGCTCCGACGGCGGCTTCGCGAGTTCCGAGGAACCTCGACCGGGGTGAGGGGGCCTTGCTGGGTAGCGTTGGCCATGCATCCCTCACTGAAAATCCAGTTGAGAGCAGGGAAGGAGTGTGGGCTGTAGGGCAGTGCGTGGGCTCCATGCCTGCTACTCCCGTGCCCTCGGGCAGGCTCCCTCCTCTTGCCTTCGCTCCTTCCTCTTTAGAATGGGGGTAGCACCCACCTCAGAGGTAAGAGAGCATGTGCGTGGTTGCAGATACGTGAATCTCTAGCTGTGATAAAACTTCGTAGACCTATCCCCCTCTGCTGCACACAGATGCATACTTGCAAAAACTGATAAAATCTGAGTGAAGTCTGGTCTAGTTGGTAGTAGTATACCAATGTCAGCTTTGTGGTTTCAATGTTATCCTTATATAGGATGCTGCTATAAGGGAAGCTGGGGAAGGGCACATGGACCTCTCTGCGGGACTTGTGCAATTTCCTGTGCATCTATAATTATTTCAAAAAATCTTAAAAAGATGAGACATATGCCTGGATGCAGTGGATAATCAGCGCCCGCCTTCACTGTGACTATTTCAGCGTCTCAGCGTCTCCTCCTCGTCCCACACCCGCCCCCTTACACATACACACACCAAACATCTATTTCTCTTATGTGGTGTACGGGGAAATAAAATTGGCAAATGTATTTGCAATTGGATGTTAAAGACCAAATGTGCTAACCTTGTCTCCCTGGTACATGTATGTATAACTTTTTAAAAGGTGGCAGTGCTTAAACCTAAGACATCCCTTGCTAATGGCAGCATTTCACAGACGCTGTGCCAGATGCCGTAGGAGGAAGAGAGCTAGACTTTAAAGGAGCTGGGCTTGAATCCTGGCTCTGCCACAAAGGAGCCACGTTAGCCTCGGAGCTCTGCTGTCTATAAAAGGAGGGGACTGTCCTTCCCTGACTACCTCGCACGAGGCACTTCATAGGAAAGTGCTTTGGAAATGTAAACAAGCTCTCTGGATGCCAGAGGCAGGAGACCTGCAATGGCACCTTGCGGGGGACCCCTCCCTGTGCACCTTTAAACCCCGCCCAGTGTCCAAGCAGCACCAGCCTCAGCTCAGGCAAGTCCTGGGGCAGGGACACCCAAACCCCAGGAAGCCAGAGCTCACTGTTCCATTCCACAACCTCCATTTGCTTATCTTCATCCAAGAAGCTGAATTTTTATTTTAAAAGTTTCTGTGGCCGGGTGCGGTGGCTCACGCCTGTAATCCCAGCAGTTTGGGAGGCCAAGGCGGACAGATCACTTGAGGTCAGGAGTTTGAGACCAGCCTGGCCAACATGGTCAAACCCCATCTCTATGAAAAATACAAAAATTAGCCAGGCTTGGTGGCAGGCACCTGTAGTGCCAGCTCCTCGGGAGGCTAAGGCAGGAGAATCACTTGAACCGGGGAGGTGGAGGTTGCAGTGAGCTGAGATTGTGCCATTACAACAACAGTGTGACAGAGGGAGACTGGGCAACAGAGGGGGACTCCGTCTCAAGAGCTTCTGTAAGTGAGCATGTGCCCACTCTTCCCTCCTACATGGTACCCAACACAGGGATCCCATTTTCTGGCCTTAGAGGTGACTCTGGGGCTGCAGGCTCCAAGCCGATCTTGGTCACTTCACCTGGACGGGGTGACCTCAGTCACCTGCCACAGTAGAGGAAGCAGGAAGCAGTTCCTCCCACTGCCCAAATATGCTGTTCCTCGTGCTCTGGGGCCCAGGCATGCTCCCAGTGCCCACTGAGGTGGGAAGAAGGGGCTCTGCGTGGGGAGTGCCAGTGCCCTCGCCCATACCTCCCCTGCAGGACACAGTGGGTGATGCCCGCATCAGGAGTATCAGTGACTTGTCACTGCAACTCAAGAACCGGGACCCTGAGGAAGTCAAGATCATCTGCCAGCGGCGAAGCCAGCTCAACAGCAGGCCAGTCCCAGGCTGGGGAGAACCGAGGGGCTGGGAGAGGGATGGAGGGCCGCCCCGGGCTCCACATTACACCACCACCCCTCGGCCAGGTGGGCGAGTTTCCATGGCAACCTGCTCCAATACCAGCAGCGGCTTGAAGGGGCCCTGGAAATACACATGTTGTCTCAAGAGCTGGACAGTGTCACCGAGAGGATTCAGGAGAAGGTACGTGGTGGAAGCGGGTCCTGGCAGGGTCTGTGAGCAAATGCGGTCAGGGGAGGGGGCGCTGCCTAGAGTCTCCTGTGTGTCTCCCCCCTCACTGGCCTCTCCTGTTCCGCTGGGTACTTGGAGGTGGGTCCTATCAGGGCTGCACCAGGGACAGCTGATGGGCTGGCCCTTGGGATCAACTCAGGACCATAGAAGCACCTATTGCAAGCTCAGCAGGGGGCTTCCCTGTCTCCTTTCTCCCCCGGATCCTGGTCCCAGACACACTGCAGGTCCAGAGGCCAGAAAACACCCTCTCGGTTTCCTCCTGTCCCCGAGGAAGCCCAGACACTCGGGATGTTTGCCTTGGGACTGTTCACAACCACAGAGCCCCAGGCTCAATCTGGCAGAGTTAGAACCCAGTCTGGGAAGCCCTCGTGTGAAACAGGTGTCTGCCGAGGCCTGTCTGTCCATCCTTGCTCTGTTTTCTTTCTCACTCCTCAAGGGATGAGAGTCGAATGAGACAGTGTACAGGGAAGCAGCACACACATGAGGTTCTTCCCTCAGAGGAGACTCCAAATCCAGAGTTGCTCCTCTGAATCGTCCCCCTCACATAAGGAAGAGACGTCTGGCCCTCAAAGCCAGGGCCGGGAAATCACACTGGGTGCTTGCTGTGCACACAGAAGCTGCTGGCTGGGCCCTTTGCCAGGAAGGAGGAGCTGAAGCAAAGGCCCAGCAGGTAACTGGCCGTGCCCCTCCCCCAGGAAGCCCTGCTCCAGGCCCTGGACTGCGGGAAGGATCTGGAGAGCGTGCAGAGGCTGCTGCGGAAACACGAGGAGCTGGAGCGGGAAGTGCACCCCATCCAGGCCCAGGTGGAGGTGCGCAGCTGGCTGTGGAGCTGGGCCCAGGGCACCTCCTCAGGGGGACCCTGGGCAGAAGCAGGGAGGAGGGGATATGGGATGCCAGGGTGGCCCAGGGCTCCCCTGCCCCAACGTCTGACCCCGGCTTCCCCCACAGTCCCTAGAGCGTGAGGTGGGCCGCCTGTGCCAGAGAAGCCCTGAGGCAGCCCACAACCTCAGGCACAGGCAGCAGGAGGTGGCTGAGAGCTGGTGGCAGCTCCAGAGCAGGGCCCAGAAGCGGTATGAACCCCGCAGGCCTTGCCCTTGCCGACCCATCCTCCGGCATCTCAGTCCCCACACCTCCCCTCAGCCCTTGTGTTCCCCTGGGATTCTTTCTCCAGCCTGCAAATTACTGTCCTCCCAGTAACTCCCAGCCCATGGGCCCTCCTGTGGTTGAGGGGATTAAGGGACAGAAGACACCAGTGGGCACAGGGGAGAGGGGTTTGAAGGCCTGGGAACTAGCTGATGAGCGCTGTGGACAGGAGGGAGGCCCTGGATGCCTTGCACCAAGCTCAGAAACTCCAGGCAACGCTGCATGAATTGCTGGTCGGCGCCCAGAGGCTGCGGGCTCAGATGGACATGAGCCCCACTCCTCGCAGCCCTGTGGAAGCCCGGCGTATGTTAGAAGAACACCAGGAGCGCAAGGTGAGCAGGCAGCTGGTCCAAGCCTTTCCCAGACCCTCACCTCCACCCTTTCCTCTCCTCCCCTCCACCCTTTCCTCTCCTCCCCTTGTTCTTGGGCCTCCTGGGTGTCCCGCCCTGCCTGTCTCCTCCAGCCTCCCACTCCTCAGCTGCTTCCCCACCTCTCCTCCTGCCTGCTGGGCTGCTTCCAGTCCCCGGTGATCTGAGCGTAGTCCCGTTCCAGGCCGAGCTGGACTCCTGGACAGACAGCAGCAGCCTGGCCCGAAGCACTGGGCAGCGACTGCTCACAGCGGAGCACCCCTCCACACCCGACATTCGCCAGGCCCTGGCTGGCCTAGAACAGGAGCTGAGCAGCCTGGAAGGGACCTGGCAGGAGTACCAGCTACAGCTGCAGCAGGCCCTGGAGCTACAGGCAGGCACAGTCCCATCCCCAGCCTGCATCTTGGCCCCACCCAACACGGCCTGTGCTGACCCCACAGCCTCTGGTCAAGGCTAAGGTTGGAGGGGCTGCTGGGCCAGGGACTTCCCCACCACTCAGCGCTCTTGCCTTCCAGGACCCTGGTTCCCCAACCTGTGCCACTGGGTCACTCCACCTGCAGTGGCTGGACCCTCTGCCGACTGCCTCTTGCTTTTTCCTTTGTTTCCAGCTGTTTCTGAGCTCCGTGGAAAAGATAGAACATTGGCTTAGCAGCACAGAAGACTCCCTAGCCAGTGAGGGTCTGTGGGTAGGTGTCCAGCCAGAATGGGCGGGAGGGGATCTTACAAGAACAGTGTTCGGGGTCAAACCAGCCAGTGCTGCCTGAGCTCCCCAGGCCAGCGATCCTCCTCTTCTGCGGCATCTCCCCACTTGGGACCACATCCGTCACTGGGCAGTCACTTACCTGTCATCTGGAGCAATTCCCACGCAGCTGTGGGCAGGCCCCACCGCCAACACCACGGAGCTTCGAGAGTGCCTGTGGCCCTGACCCATTCTTGCTGCCTCACCCCTGCCCTCCTCACTTCCCAAATGCCTAGAGGTTCGCTTTTCCTGCCACTGCCCCAACCCTGTAGCAGACAAGTGTAGCTCATAGGAGACCTCAGAGGATAACTGGAGACTAACAGTCCTCGGAGGAGTGCAGAGGAGGGAGCGCTCACCTTATGTGAAAAAACTCGGCCTGCCTCGGAGATTCTGGCTCTTGATCCCTATCCCAATGCTCCCCTGGCTGGGAATCACTGTCCTAAAGCTGGAACGGCCTTGAGGGACGTATTTGGGTGGAGCAGCTGCTCTGTGGATGTTCTAGGTGGGAAGGCAGGTAGCCTGGGATGGGAGGGGGCAGCCCCGTGGACAGTATTGGGTTCCCCACCCCCACCAGGACCCCTTAGCCCCCATGGAGCCCCTTCTGTGGAAGCAGAAGACGCTGGAGCGGGACCTGGAGGTGCAGGCAGGAAAGATCAGCGCTCTGGAGGCCTCGGCCCGCAGCCTGCACCAGGGTGGACACCCCGAGGCCCCGAGTGCCCTGGGCAGGTGCCAGGCCATGCTCCTGAGGTACTGGTGGCTCTGGGGTGAGGGATGCTGTGGGCGGGCTGGCACAGGCATCTGACATCCCGGTTCTTCCCTTCCTACCCTTCCACTGCTTGGCCCAGGCTCACCAGTCTTTTCCAAGGACTGAGGTCAGATGCTGGGGGTCCCTACCGCCCCTGGCCCTGCAATGTGTCTGCCTGTTATGGACATCAAACACCATGTGGAAAATCCCACTTCCTTCTTCATTCAGTTGAGATCAAAGGGAGTTTAAAGAGAGGCTTACGCTAGGAGACCAAGAGGAAACCATCTCACGAAACGGAAGGGCAGGGTACAGAGGTCAAGCATCGGCCTTCCAGGGCCACAGTCCTGAGTCCCTATGCTGCCCACTAATGGCAGGACTCGGGCAAGTTCCTCCTCACGGCAGCTGAGCCTCACATCCCGGGCTCTAAGGGCTGTGATGAGGATGAAAGCATGGTGCTGGCCCCACAGGCAGGCTAGCAGAAGTCTTAGCTCATCTAACGCCGGTTCAGACACAGATGCATGTGACCTGCACGGCCCATGAAACCCCAGCTCTGCGGTTTTTTTCCCTGTGAAAGCTCATCGGGTTTGGCTGCTTCATGCGGCTCCTCAGACTTTTAGATCAAGGGAGATAGGGTCAAAAGCCAGATCCCAGACTGGTGAGGGCTTTTGTCCTTCCCAGAGAGCCGACCAGCACCCACAAATGCCGTGGCTCCTTGTGCTGGTGTCCTGGCAGTGGTTGGGGCCAGCCTCTCTCCATTCTTGCAGGTGGATCACACCTGGGTACCTGTGGAGTTGTTTGAATTAACAGAATGCAAACATTGCTGGCCTCTGTCACCACCCACTCCCCCAGTCACCTTAGGTGGTTCCTGGCAGGCCCAGCTGCCCCCAGCACAGTGCCACCGTGACTTCTAGCCCCTGGCTTCTTCCCTCCTACAGGAGCACGTTTCTGTTCAGTCCAGCCGCTCCGCACCCGCTCCTCCCCACACACTCACACCAGCGTAGGCAGGAGTGTGTGGACCTGAGGAGGTGGGGTGGGGGGGAGGGATGTTAGAACTTCTGTTTATAGATCTCAGTTTCTATTTTTGTGCATGTGGCATTATACTTGATATTGGTACAGAGGTACATATGTAATATATAAATCAAGTTATTAAATATTATATGAATGTTAGATATTACATATTATATATAGGGAGGTCCTGCTTTAAAAATTCTTGCTAATAGCAATGCCTGATCAAAAAAGTGGTTTAGACAGTATATTAGCCTATTCAGACAGCTGTACCAAAATACCACAGACTGGGTGGGGTGGTATAAACCAGCAATCCCCCAACCTTTTTGGCACCAGGGACCGGTTTTGTGGAAGACAGTTTTTCCCAGGGGGTGGGAGGTAGTTTCCGGATGACACTGTTCCCCCTCAGATCTCTGGGCATTAGATTCTTATAAGGAGCCTGCAACCTAGATCCCTCGTGTGCGCAGTTCAAAACAGGGTTCCAGCTCCTGTGAGAATCTGTTGCCAGTTGATGGACGGGAGGCAGAGCTCAGGCACTCACGCGCCACAGCTCACTTCTGTGCAGCCGGTTTCTAACAGGCTGCGGACTGGTGCTGGTCTGCGGCCCAGAGGCTGGGACCCCTGGAATAAACACTTCTGACAATCCTGGAGGCTGCAGGTCCACGGTCCAGGTGTCAGCAGTCGGTTTCCTCTGGAGGTCTGCCGGTTCTGGCAGAGGCCCCTTTGCCCTGTGCCTTCCCCCCATGCTTGTGTCTGCCCCAGTTTCCTCCTCTCGTAAGGACACATAAGGTCACAGTGGATTAGGACCCACCCATATGACCTCGTTTTCACTTAATTGCCTCTTTTAAAGACACTGTCTCCAAAACCAGTTCTGGGGAGGGGTACAGGCCAGGTGTAATAGCTGTAATCCCAGCACTTTGGGAGAACGAGGTGGGTGGATCATTTGAGGTCAGGAGTTCAAGACCAACCTGGCCAACATGAGGAAAGCCCGCCTCTACTAAAAATACAAAATTTAGCCGGGTGTGGAGGCATGAGCCTGTAGTCCCAGCTACTCGGGAGGCTGAGGCAGGATAATTGCTTGAACCCAGGAGGTGGAGATTGCAGTGAGCCAAGATTGTGCCACTGTACTCCAGCCTGGGTGACAGAGCGAGACTCTGTCTCAAAAAAAAACTTGGGGGTACAACATCCGGCCCATAACAGACACATATACAGAGGTGGAGTGCAATGGACCTTTATTCCAAAGGAAACTCCAGACTCTGAATATATTCATACTTGAGGAAGCCTAGGCTGAACGGGCACCCCACCCGGCCCCGGGGGTGGCCCCAGGCCCATGAGCCTCTCCTCCTGGCAGGAAGGAGGCGCTCTTCAGGCAAGCCGGGACCCGCCGCCATCGCCTGGAGGAGCTCCGGCAGCTGCAGGCCTTCCTGCAGGACTCCCAGGAGGTTCGCCTCGCTTGGAGAGGGAGGCGATCACGGTGGGGAAGGAGTCGACCCAGGGAAAGGCCACACTTCCTCTGGGGCATCCCAGAGATCGGGGGAAGGCGAGAGTCCTGGACAGCAGGCCTGTCCTCCCCATGTGCCCAGGTGGCCGCGTGGCTGAGGGAGAAGAACGTGGTGGCCCTGGAGGAGGGTTTGCTGGACACAGCCATGCTGCCAGCACAGTTACGGAAGCAGCAGAATTTCCAGGCGGAGCTGGACGCGAGCAGGCACCAACAGCAGGAGCTGCAGCGGGTGAGGCCCTGCGGGCAGGAAGAGCACAGGACGGTGCCCCAGAGCTGGTGCTGAACCACAGCAATGGTGGCCAGTGTTATCCAGTACTTTCTGTGTGCAGGCACCTGGCTAAGCGGTTGTGTAGGTGGAAGTGTAGTGAGAAGCAGTTGCTTCCCCGGGGTGGGGGCACCCTCTCCAAAAATGACACCTTTTCAGTAATTTTAAAGATAACATTTTGATGTGAACAGGATATAGCCAGCAGTCCTGTGAGTGAAGGAGTCAAAACATAGTCAGTTTTTTGGAGACAGGTCTTGCTCTATCGCCCAGGCTGGAGTGCAGTGGCAAGATCTCGGCTCACTGCAACCTCCACCTCTCAGGCTAAGTGATCTTCCCAGCTCAGCCTCCCAAGTAGCTGGGATCACAGGCCCGTGCCACCACATCTGGCTACTTCTTTGTATTTTTGGTAGAGAAGGGGTTTCGCCATGTTGCCCAGGCTGGTGTCAAACTCTTGAGCTCAGGTGATCCACCTGCCTCAGCCTCCCAGAGTGCCGGGATTACAGGAATGAGCCACTGTGCCCAGCATGGCACTTCTTTAAACATTCTCTTTTCCACCTGCAAAGGCAGATCCTGACCCCAGGCTGGCTCGCTCTGATATAAATCACCCTGCTAAGTATTTTACATGACTTATTTAAACAAAATAACCATGATTTTCTCTATGATACGGATGAGGAAAATGAGGCTTAGGTAAAGAAAGTTGCTCAAGATCATGCAGCTGGCCTGCAGGGACTCTGCAGCTGTGGTGCTGGTGGTCAGAGTCAACACAAGTGCCCTGGTACCAGCAGTCCTCAGTCCACAAGGGGTGTTTCATGTTGTGGCTGCAGGAGGGACAGAGGCTGCTGCAGGGGGGCCACCCAGCCTCGGAGGCCATCCAGGAGCAACTGCAGGAGCTGGGAGCACTCTGGGGTGAGCTGCAAGACAACTTCCAGAAGAAGGTGGCCAAGCTCCAGAACGCCTGCGAGGTGAGGTTGCGTGGGCCGTGGGGTGGCTGGCCAGGCTCCGGGCCTCTCCCCTCCTGCCAACCTTGCTTTCTACCCTAGGCCCTGCGTCTGCGGCGGAGCATGGAGGAACTGGAGAACTGGCTGGAGCCCATCGAGGTTGAGCTGAGAGCCCCCATTGGGGGCCAGGCCCTGCCTGGGGTGGGTGAGCTCCTAGGCACACAGAGGGAGCTGGAGGCAGCAGTGGACAAGAAGGCCAGGCAGGCTGAGGCACTGCTGGGCCAGGCCCAGACCTTCGTGAGGGAAGGCCACTGCCTTGCCCAAGATGTGGAAGAGCAGGCCCAGCGGCTGCTTCAGAGGTAGATCCGCCTGTGCCCTCAGCTTCTCTTCCCTGCCTTCCTAGAGGGACCGCCACCCCTGCCCTCTAACTGATGTCTTCTCACTTTCTCCCACTGCCCATGGGGAGGGCCACAACTGGGTGATCTGTGTCACCAGGTATCCCTAATACTGACACCCGTGGTCTCTGCCTCCCTGGGTCCCACCCTCCACCACTGCAGGTTCAAGAGCCTGAGGGAGCCCCTGCAGGAGCGCAGGACGGCCCTGGAGGCCCGGAGCCTCCTCTTGCAGTTCTTCAGGGACGCCGATGAGGAAATGGCCTGGGTGCAGGAGAAGCTGCCTCTGGCCACTGCCCAGGACTATGGCCAGAGCCTGAGTGCGGTGCAGCACCTGCAGGAGCAGCACCAGGTATGGGCCCACCCGGGGAGGGGAGGGCCGGCCCTCGCATGTGAGCGGGGCTCCTCAGCCAAGGAAATGGCACTCTCTGTGGCCCAGCCAGGAACTCTGCCTGTGGGGGCTTTTGGAGTACTCTGGATTCTTTGGGGGTCATGGGGACAGGGGACTCCTTGGAGACAAGTTAGTGGGGTCCTGTGAAGCTTCAAGCACAACTGTGGGAGTCCCCCAAGGGTCAGCAACCTCCCCATCCTCCCCCACAGAACCTGGAGAGTGAGATGAACAGCCATGAGGCTCTGACCCGGGTGGTGCTGGGCACTGGGCACAAGCTGGTGCAGGCAGGGCACTTTGCCGCCCACGAGGTGGCCGCCCGGGTGCAGCAGCTGGAGAAGGCCGTGGCCCACCTGCGGGCAGAGGCGGCACGGAGACGGCTTCTGCTGCAGCAGGCTCAGGAGGCCCAGCAGTTTCTGACTGAGGTGAGGGGAGTGATGGGCAGGGCACAGCGGGCGGGCCTGGAACCAGGGCGAGTGCAGCCGGGAGGTAACTCCAGGGCTCCGGGCCTGGGCACCTTTCATCTCCTCCACTCAGTGGTCTCCTGCCCCCAAAGGCTTCCTTCCACATGTGTCCCAGAACACAGCTGCTGGCTGGATTGGCTTTTGTCTTTTTTCCCTCTAGACCAGTGGTTCTCAACCAGGGCTTTACATGAGAATCACCTGGAACCTTCCCTGGATGATTATACCTCAATTACTTCAGAATGGTGAATACAATTGGAAAGGAAGAAAAACTGAAGTAAATGAAGTAAATAGGCTAATAAATGAAAGGGAGAAACACTGCAAGGGATATTTGCTAAAACTTGGTTTTATTTTATCAAGTGACAGAAACAAAATCTATGCCTATGAACCAAGAATAAAGCATCTATTTTGCATGGAAAAAAATCACCTGGACCCTTTACAAAGCACTGCCTCCCTGGCTGTTTCGGACCAGATGAGGCTGCTTAGGAGTGGGGCCAGGCCGAGGGAGCGCGACAGCTCCCAGGTGATTCCCATGTGCGGCCAGGCTGAGAATCGTGGCTGTAAATCCTGAGCCCTGGAGGGTGCCCCGGGAAAACAAATCTCCACTCTGTCACCCCAGCTCCTGGAGGCGGGATCCTGGCTGGCCGAGCGGGGCCACGTCCTGGACAGCGAGGACATGGGCCACAGTGCTGAGGCCACACAGGCCCTTCTGCGGCGGCTGGAGGCCACCAAGAGAGACCTGGAAGCATTCAGCCCACGCCTCGAGCGGCTGCAGCAGACGGCAGCACTCCTGGAGAGCAGGAAGAACCCAGACAGGTGCGGGGGGAGCCACGCATCCGGGAAGGAGCAGAGAGAAGCCCCTGCAGAGGTGGCAGGAGACTGCTCCAGCCTGGAGAGGAAGGGCTGCAGTCCAGGCTGTCGCTGTCTTCCTGCAGCCCCAGGGTGCTAGCCCAGCTGCAGGCAGTTCGGGAGGCCCACGCAGAGCTGCTGCGGAGGGTGGAGGCCAGGGGGCGTGGCCTGCAGGAGCAGCTGCAGCTACACCAGCTGGATCGAGAGACCCTGCTCCTCGACGCCTGGCTGACCACCAAGGCAGCCACCGCTGAGTCCCAGGACTACGGGCAGGACCTGGAGGGCGTCAAGGTGAGTCACTCCTGAGCAAACCTCGCGGGCAGCGGGCAGAGGCCGAGGAAGGCCTGCCTTGGAATGAAAGGGTTGCTGGGTAGTCAGCAGAGAGGAGCTTGGAGAGGGTGTCCTAGGGAGGATCCTGATGGTTCTAGAATCAGGGCTGAGGGACTGCAGAGCCATCAGTCTGCTGAGCTCTTCATGAACTTTGAGAGCTCATGATACCATCTCGAGTGACCCTGCCGGGCCTCACACCTTTGCAGGTGCTGGAAGAGAAGTTTGATGCTTTCAGAAAGGAAGTTCAGAGCCTGGGCCAGGCCAAGGTGCATGCCCTGAGGAAGCTGGCAGGCACCCTGGAGCGGGGCGCACCCAGGCGCTATCCCCACATCCAAGCCCAGAGGAGCCGCATTGAGGCCGCTTGGGAGAGGCTGGACCAAGCAATAAAAGCCCGCACAGAGGTGGGTAACCACAGGCCGGGCCGAGCTAGGGGGTCTCAGAGTCTTCAAAAAATCCCTCTAAGCCCTCCCTAGCACAGGCTTTGGTTCCCACAAGACACACACCCTGCTGGCCGCGAGTGAATGCGCCTTCTCCCTCACCCGCTCAGGTTTCTCCCAGGACATTCCATCTCTGTAGGTCCTGGGCTGGGGCTGCCTCCTGAGCTGACCTGTCTCCCAGCCGCATGCGAGGCACTACAGATGGTACTGCCAGGGTCAGCTGGATCCCCGAGAACCAGCCTGCTCTCTCACATGGACCCAACTCCTCGTGTCTGCCTTTCCCTGAGATGCACATGAGGCCCTCTCCTCTGCCCGCCCTCCCCACCCGCTGGCCTGCCACAAGACGCACATCGTCACGTTCACTGAGGGTCGCAGCATGGAGGATGGTTTCTGAACCTGGGGACACATCAAGCCCCATGGTCCTCCTTGCTCAAAAGGAGGTGGCCCAGGAGGCCATGTCTCCAGGGAGAAAGGAGTCCTGGGAGCAGAGAACAGCCCTGAGCAGGTCCTTTCTCCTCTCCCAGAACTTGGCTGCAGCCCATGAGGTCCACAGCTTTGAGCAGGCAGCAGCCGAGCTCTGGGGAAGGATGCAGGAGAAAACGGCCCTGATGAAGGGAGAGGACGGAGGCCACAGCCTGTCGTCTGTGCGCACCCTGCAGCAACAGCACAGGCGCCTAGAGGTGAGGCCCACACCCCGCAGCCTGCCTGTCTGTCCCTGCCCAAAGGCGGTGGCTGAGGGGGACCTATCTCAGCCCTCCCCCAAGGTGCTCCCACCCCAGCCTGCTTCAGCCTCCTCTCCAGAAACCCAGATCCTTCCCTGAGGGGCCCTGGGACTTGGCCCAGGTTATGCAGCAGAGTGGAGGTGGCTCCTCAGAGAGGCCTGGTGCTCCTGAATGGAGAGCACGCGTCGGCTCAGTGTGGGGACTGACGCCTGATCTCATGCTCTGGTTGCAGAGAGAGCTGGCAGCTATGGAGAAGGAGGTGGCACGGGTGCAGACGGAGGCCTGCCGACTGGGCCAGCTACATCCTGCGGCTCCAGGGGGCCTGGCCAAGGTGCAGGAGGCCTGGGCCACTCTGCAGGCAAAGGCCCAGGAGCGAGGCCAGTGGCTGGCGCAGGCTGCACAGGGCCATGCCTTCCTCGGGCGCTGCCAGGAACTGCTGTAGGTGTCCTACCTCGGCTGCTGGCTCAGCTCTGCCCTGTGGGGTGGGGGTATCCTGGCTCTTCAGGGAGCTGGACCCTCCCTCCCCTGCCCATGCCCTCCCCCGCTCCCCAGCCAGCCCTGACAACAGCTCCCTTCCCTGACCTACAGAGCATGGGCACGAGAGAGGCAGGAGCTGGCATCCTCTGAGGAGCTGGCTGAGGACGTGGTGGGGGCTGAGCAGCTCCTTGGGCAGCATGAAGAGCTGGGGCAGGAAATCAGGGAGTGCCGCCTTCAAGCCCAGGACCTGCGGCAGGAAGGACAGCAGCTGGTGGACAACAGCCACTTCATGTCCCCGGAGGTGTGAACACAGAGGGTGGGTGTGGGGTTGGGCTGGGGATGCAGCCTGATTGCCAAAGGCCTCAGGGCCCCTCACAGGCATGGAAACCAGCAGGCCAGGAAGGCTGGGCCCAGGCAGGGAGAGAGGCTGGGAAGGGGCAGGTGCGGGTGTCACAGCCTTCCCTCTGCACGTCCATTAACACTGGGCTCTCCAGCCCTGCCCTGCCTTGCCCGGGGTGGGAGCCCTACCCAAGCTGTCACCCCTAGCAGCCCCTCCCCGCCAGGTGACAGGGTGTCTGCAGGAGCTGGAAGGGCGGCTGCAGGAGCTGGAGGCGGCCTGGGCCCTGCGCCGGCAACGCTGTGCCGAGAGCTGGGGTCTGCAGAAGCTTCGGCAGAGGCTGGAGCAGGCTGAGGCCTGGCTGGCCTGCCGGGAAGGCCTCCTGCTGAAGCCCGACTATGGGGTGAGTAGGGGTCCTGCCCCTTCGCTGGCTACCAGGCTCTGGCCCCCGAGCTGGGCCTCACCCGAACGTGCTTCTTCCCAGCACTCAGTGTCAGATGTGGAGTTGCTGCTACACAGACACCAGGACTTAGAAAAGCTGCTGGCAGCCCAGGAAGAGAAGTTTGCCCAAATGCAGAAGACAGAGGTGAAGAGTGCCTCAGCTAGGGGCTGAGGGCTGGTGGGGGAACAGTCCCTCTCAGCCTGCAAGTCAGGGTCTCCAGGGCACTGAGCCCTCACCCTGCCTCACCCACTCCTTTCCCTGGCCAGCTGCGGTGGTGGGAGAGGCACCATGGTGGACTGGGTGCGAGCCTCCAGAGCCAAAGCTGAAAGCTAGTGAGGGGGAGGCAGGCCCCCTCTGACCGGGAGGGATGGCGGAGGGGGAGGTAGATGGGAGCCCGAGGCGTGGCTGGTCTACCTGACCTGGCTCACCTTGCCCATCTTGCCACACTCCCCAAGATGGAACAGGAGCTCCTGCTGCAGCCACAGGAGCTGAAACCTGGGAGAGCCGGCAGCTCGCTGACGTCCTTTCAGTGGAGGCCCTCTGGACACCGGGGGCCAGGAGCGCAGCTGGCTGAGACGAGGGGCCCCCAGGCAGGTGTCCCCCTGGGGCTGCAGGCACCCCCAACGTTGGTCTCCCTGGTGTATGCAGTGGGGCTGGGGCTGTGGGGGTGAGGGCCCACACCCTGGAGCCAGTGCTGGGAGCCCTGGGCACAGGAGCTGAAGGTCGTTAGGAATAAAGAGGGCTCTCTACAGCCATGCCACCCTGAACATGCCCGATCTCATCTGATCTTGGAAGCTAAGCAGGGGCGGGCCTGGTTAGTACTTGGGTGGGAGGAATAAAGAGAGCGGGGGCAGTGGGTGCCTCACCCACCTTCCTGAGGGTGCTGGTCCTGACATTTCCGGGCCCCATCTTGCATTTTCAGGATTCAAAGGGTGCCCCCACCATGGAGGGGTCTTTGGAGTTCAAGCAGCACCTGCTGCCTGGCGGGAGGCAGGTAAGTGCCTGGAGATTCCTTCTCCAGGCAGCCCCCACTTGCAGGAAAACTTGAGGGGCTGGAAAGAGCCATCTGGGCCTGGCACCCTTGCCCTGTGACCTTGGGCAGATGCCACCCCCCACCATGCTATCCAGGCAGTTTTCTCCTTGGGGCCCTTCCCAGCATCCGCCCCCACCCAGGGGGTGCTGGGATTCCTCCTCCCAGCCTGCTCTTCCCCTTCTGCTTGGTTTCCCCTGTCAGAGCCCCTCTGTGGCTTCCCTTTCCCCATAGGGACTTTGGTCCAATCCATTGCTTTTCCTGGGAGGCTCCACACACACGGCGAGGCACGGGCAGGCCCTAGCTCCAACTTCCCTTCTGCACATGGCTCATGTGGCCTTCCCGCCTCCCCTCCACAGCCCAGCTCGAGCTCCTGGGACAGCTGCCATGGGACCTTGCAGGGCAACTCCCTGAGCCTTTTCCTGGATGAGAGGATGGCAGAGGAGGTACCAGGCGGGGTGGGGGAGATGCAGACATCAGGGTGCTGGGAGACAAGGCAGAGGGGCCCCAGGACGGAGGGACCACACAGGGAAAAGCTGAGATGGCCGCAGTGACTCCTGCCTCTCATCTCTCCTCAGAAAGTAGCTTGCCTGGCCCTACTTGACCTCATGGGAGCCCGGTGTGAGAGGCTGCAGGGCCGCCACGGCAGGAAACACACATTCTCCTTAAGGTGAGGGGAGGGACATGGACTCCCGCATGGCCCCCAGCAGCCACCTGGCTCAGTGGGGGCTGGAAGCGTGGGGGACCCCCAAGGGACAGTGGAGAGTTTGACCTGTCTCTGTGGGTGCCAGGCTGACCAGTGGGGAAGAGATCCTGTTTGCAGCACCGTCTGAAGAGCAGGCTGAGAGCTGGTGGCGAGCCCTGGGCAGCACTGCAGGTGGGCTTCAGGGGAAGGATGCGGGGAGGGCGGCCGACTCCCTGGGCCCCTAGCGTTTTATGCATCCTCAGGTTTCACAGTTAGCATCTCTAACCCCCGAGAGGTAAGTTGGACTTACTGTTTTTTCTCAAAGAATTTAGGTTCCAGAGAGGTTAAGCAACTTACCCAACATCACACAGCTAATTAGCAGCAGAGATGGGGCCAGTTTTGACCCCCAAGCTGTGTCCTGGTCCTGTTCTGCCCCTTTTGGAGTTGGCCATTCTGAGACTGCCACAAGCCCTTCCTGCCAAGATCCTCATGGACTGTTCCTCCAGGGGCTTTCCAGGCTCTGTTCTGTCTGACCTGGGGGCTTCTTTAACCTTCTAGTCCTCAGACAACTTTGAATGTCACCACCCTTGAGTTGTTTTGCAGACAGGAAGCAAGCCAGGTTCTACTTGGAGGAATATATAGACAACCCCTTGGACCACTTTCTTCCATGGTCAGCGTGCTCTGCCGAGGCTCCATGTGGACACAGTGTGTTCAGGGAATGTGTCTGGGATCCTAGCTCTGTCTCTGGTTCCCCTGGACTCTCCTCTCGAGTCTGTCTTTCCAGAAGCCCAAAGGGATCTTGAGTTGTTCGGCATTCCAGAATCCCCCACCTCCTAAGAAAAGCTCAGCCTTTCTTAACTCACCTGTGAGGAGTTTTCTAAGAGGCAGGACGCATGGGGGAAAAACCTGCCCACGAGTGCTCAGCGCACCCCGCACCCCCATGTGGGAAGGGCCTGGCATGGCTAGGCTGCCCAAGGCTGTGCTGAGCCTCCAGAAGCTGGAGGAAGGAGCAGCCAGACTTGGCGCCTGCAGATGGTCTGGGCCGGGCTAACAGTGGTTATTCCCTTGTTCTGCAGCCCAGAGTCTGAGCCCGGAACTCAAAGCCAAACCTGTCAGCTCTCCGAATGAGTGCGCGACCGAGGATGCCCGGCCTGGACATCTACTCAGGTGGGACACACCTGGGCGGGGGGAGCAGGGCGGGGAGCCCTGGGCTTCAGTGGCTGGCAGGTGCTGCCCTCTGAAGCCTGATATTCTGGGCCTCAGACTGTCTCTGTTGGGCTGTGGGGAAATACTACTGAACACTCAGCTGCCCCTGCCCACTCTCAGCTGAGAGGAATCCAGGCCACAAGGCCCAGATTTCCACAGACTCAAGAGCACTCCCCTCCCAGGGCTCACTCCATGCCCTCCACAGTGGGGGGCCCCTGTAGACAAAGCTGCCTGGGCTCCCTGTGTCCCTCCTGCTTGGCTGCTTGGAGGAGGGGCAGCCAGGTTTCCCTGTGCCTGGTGCTGAGAGCCTGCCTGGGTTTGTGTCCCGGGGGCCCAGGCCCTCCTCACTTTCCTCCCTCCTCTCTGCTCTCCAAGGCACAGCACGTTGGCAGGACGGCCAGACCCTGCCCCACCCTTGTTCCAACCCATTCTCTAGCTGGTCCTCCCCTGCTTTCCCCAATCCCCACTCCCCGGCAATGGAGAGGGCCACTATGTCCTGGACTGCAGGCGAGGGAGGAGGAGATGCGAAAGTGATGTATAGGGCAGGTGGCTCTTACCTGGCTCCTCGGTCCCTCCTTGTAGATCCCAGCATCATTTCGATGCTCAACCCCCTCACCCACATCTCCTTTCCCTCCAAACCAGAGGGCTTCAGGCTCTCCGTGGGGAGGGGACACCTGGGGTTAGGTGAAAATGGAGGAGGCACTGGAGACAGGCACATCCTCCGTGCATGGGCCCCATGCCAGGATGAGCCTAGACATGCACATGCATATACAGCTGTGTGCCTGGAGGGCTCATACCACAAGCGGTGCCAGCCACAGCTGTGGTCTCCAGTGTAACCATCTGCTCCCAGTCCTGCAGGGCCCAATATATGATTTAGATGATGTGTTGCTGATGAGACAGGCCTTGTCCTGGACACGGTGGCTCCTGAGGCTACCAGGACAGCCATTTCTTCTGCTGTCTCTAGCCCAGGGCTGGGGTCGCTAGACCAGCTGACAGGCGTAGAGTTGGGTTATGAGAGTCGAGGCAATTCCCACCCCCTTACCCACAGCTGCTGCAGCGCCTGTCAGCTCTGGAATCCACTCCCACGCTTACTCTAGGAGGCTGGCTGGTCCAGGGGAGGGCAGGGCGCCAGTGTTTGGAGAAGATTCTGGGGTGGCCATACCCTACTAAATTCACTCTGTTTTCCCAACAGGTCTGATCCCTGAGGTGAACCCCAGGGCAACACCAAACTTCAGGGCCACAAGCGAGGACGCGTCTAGGGGACCAGAATGAGACCCAGCCACAGGCAAAAGGGCTCTTTCCCGTGGCTGCTTCAACCCAGTTCCCCAGGCCCAGCTTCTGGAATAGACAGTTCCTTGTTATGAGATGGCTCCCACCATGTGGCAGGAAACAGCCATTGCCTGGCCTCCCCCTGCACTCCTGTCTGGGTGAAGAGGAGACGTGTTCCAGCAGAGCAGGTGGGCAAGGCCAGGGCTACCCCAGGCCCACGTGGCCGCCTCCTTGCTTGGAGGGGTGACTGAGCACAGGTGGATGTGGACGTGTGCAGAGAATCTACTCTTCGGAGGAAGCCCACGCCGATGAGCGAGCTCTGTACCAGCCCTTGCCACGTACAGCCAAAAGCCTAGAATGACATGGCCCCTTCTCCGCAGTAATAACAGCTGGTCTCAGATAGCGCCTCACATGTGTATGAGTCTGTAATGTATCAATTGTTCCATCTCACCTCGTCCAACTACTCAAGGTAGCGCAGAAGGGAAAACAGACATGGGCCATGGGGTTTTGGGTGATACACAAATGGGCTCGGCCTCCTTACCCCCCTGCAAACTGCTGAGGCCCCAGGGAGCTCCCAGCCCTCAGCATGGACCCTGGGACAGGGTCACCTGAGCCCCAGAGGCTCTGAAGCACTGGGTGGTGACAGTTCCCACCTGCAACTCAGCAGCCAGGGAATGAATGAGAGTCAGGGTGGCAGGGCCAGGCAGGGGCCCCGGCCATCACTGGGGCCTGCGCTGCCGCCTCCGCTGCACTGCCTGGCGCAGGGCCTCCAGCAGCTGCTCCCGGTTGTTGCAGACATTGTAATGTGTCAGGCGCAGCAGCTTGTCCACATCCTCCTGGCTATAGGTCACCTTGGTGTAGTGGTAGGGAGAGTCCACTGAAGACAGGTTCACCTCCCCAGCCGCCGCCTCCTCAGGTGTCCGCTGGACCCCTGTGGAGAGAGTGGAGCCTGGCATGGGGGAACACGTGGGGAAGGTGGGTTTGGGGATGCACAGGGGACGGAGGAAGTGTGGGGGACTAGGGCAGCAGGAGGGGGAGGTGAACAGCGGCTCACCAGGGGCCGAGTACTCCCGGAAGGAGTCGTTGACAAGAGGGAAGTGCAGCACCGCAGGGGCTCCGGGGCAGGTGGGGTCAGAGAAGGTGTGGCACTCCCGAGGCTGGAGCTGCTCTTCAGGGCTGGGTGAGATGGGCGGGAACGGGATCCCCTGCTCCTGGCAGAACCGGCCCAGGAGCTGCAGCTGCTGCAGGGCAGGCAGAAGGGGCTTCAGAGGGACAGGGCCCCTGGTGTCCTCAACACTGGGGCTGACGATGTGAGATGCACCAAGATTCACGGACCTGGGGCTCAAATGCCAAGTCAGGGGCTCCAGTGGGGCCTACGAAGCCAGCCTTTGGGAAAAAAACGCCACACCTGACAGGCCTTGGTGGCAGCTCCTCTGGGGCTAGACGGAGCCGGGCTGCTCCCAGCACTCCAGTTCTGACACTGGGAGGCAGCGCAGACTCGGCAGGTGGGCCCGGAGGCCCAGGACCACACCTCGCAGGTCAGTAAGAGGACCCAGATACAAGATAAAACCTCGACAGCTTCCCAACTTCCGGAAGAGAATGAGCTCCTCTAGTGGCAAAGTAACAGATTCCAGTGTCCCAGTCACATGCAGTCACTGTCACAGCTCCTAAAGGAAGCTGGACCAGACACTGGACTCCAAAGCCCCTCTCTTCAGGGGGCAGGGGCCACCCACCACCTCCCATGCCTGCCCACCCTCCCCAACCTGGAAGGCTCCGTGGAGGTTGTAGTCCAATGACAGGATGAGGTCCACGTCCCGAGTGGGCTGCAGGAGGGGCAGGCAGCTGGTGTTGATGAGGTAGCCAACATCCAGCAGGCACAGGTGGGGCTCCGAGGGTGTCAGCTGGTTGGGGAGCCCATCCAGAGTGGTAGCTGGAAGGTTGGGGAGAGCAGCAATTGTCACGGATACCAAGGGTACCAGATTCCTGCTGGAAGGAGAGACTCTGGCCTCTGGCCCCTGCTCTCCTGCTGAACTAACACCCCCGCAACCCTGCAGGTGGGCCCTGGGTCCCCAAGACAAGGAGAAAAAGACCCCTACTCCAAGCAGTCCAGGGAATCGAGCTCAAAGCAGGAGAACGAGAGTGGACCAGGAGGGATGTCTGGAGCTGGGGACTCAAGGCTCAGGTGGCCACAGGAGGACTGTTGAGAGGAGCAGGTACCTTTCCAGGTGGAGAAGTGAGGATGCTGAAAGTAGTCTTTGTGGAAATGGAGGCCACGCAGGAAATTGTGTGTGGCCTGGGCCAGTGGGCGCCGTGTCAGAAGATCGGTGAAAAACTCAGCTATCCTGCTGGCTGTTGAGGGTGGTTCTTCTATCTTCAGAAGGGGGACCTGCTCCTTGTCTACACAGGCAAGGTGGGGGTGTGGGGGGAGAATGGGGACTCCTGCATCTTTAGCCCCACCTTGGTGGTGACCCTGGACGGGGAAGAGGTGAGACCCCCCACCCCCTGGTACAGCCCCAGCTGGCTGCCTCTTGGCACCCTTATGAAGGGGCTGGAGCACCTACCCAGGTTGGCCTGGTTCCTGACCCAGCGGTCCCAGAACTGGCTGGGCTCTGAGGCCCAGTATAAGCTGTCCTGGAGGTTGGCTGCATACAGGTTGCTCCAGATACCTGAAAGAGCGGCCGTGAGGGAAGAGGGCTCCCGACTCCTGTCCCAACCCTACCCTTCCCCATAGCCAGTCCTGACCCAGGAAGCTCTTCTGACCAAGGGCCACCCTCTCTCTCAGGACCCATTTTCCCTGCTCGGCCCAGCTTCCTAAGCCTGCCCAGCGCCCCTCACCTTCTAAGAAGCAGATGCGGGACTCAGGGAGCCTCTTCGTCAGCTGCCCCATGAAGAACTCAGAGCCAAAGAGCTCAGAGGGGATGAAGGCCCCATACTTGGGGAAGCCGACCTCGTAGGGAGAGAACTCGCACCACTCTGTGAGAAGGCCACCCCTCAGCCTCATGGTGCAGAGCCCTTAGGCACCTGCACCCCCACCCAGGGCTTTGCTTTAGGGCAGCCGAGGACCAGGAGGCCCAGGCCTTGTGGCCTGGGCTTTGTGCATGGGACCTAAAGCACCTGCCTCCTTCCCAAAGGCCCAAGGGACCCTGGTAGGGTGTCAGTCTCCAGAAAGCACAGGACCTGGCCCAGGAGAGGTGGGTGTGACATCTGCCGTCTGCACACAGGCCCCGTCTCCCCTTACTCCACCAACCGCGAGGGCACAGGTCTCATCTCAGCTCTGGGGCCACTCACCCCCAAATTCAAAAGTGGACAGGCTCCGCCCCTTGGTGTTGAGGGCACAGTAGATGGGCAGAGGGTTCTGGCCATGACTCAGGGCCTCCCGCTGATCTGAGAGCTTGTGGTCATGGGGCTGGGGAAAGACGAGTGGAACCTGAACCCACAGCTGCCTGGGTGCCCAGGCCCTTTCCCACCCTGCTCTCCAGCGCCCTGCCCCAGCTCCAGCCCTGGCTCTGCCTCCGGCCGCAGCCCCCGCACCTCGTCGTGCAGCAGCGCCTCATTGATGAGGGCCCACAGGCTGGTGAAGCAGCTTGGGTAGCCCAGGCGGGCACGCTCGGCCAGCTCCTGCTGGTACCGCTGCAGCTGGCTGGGGGCCAGCACACCGAGCTTGCTCTTGGTCACCTGGGTCTTTAGCAACTCAGTGGGCCCTGCCAGGTCCTTCTGAGACCACTCTGGGTCCTCATAGAGGTTGGCCAAGGCCCTGGGAAAAGCCAAAGCCAGAGGGCTGTCACTGAAGGACCCCATCTAGACCTCACGTGCCCTGGGTTTTCTAGGACAACAGCCTGGCAGGGACCTCCCCAGGGTCTCCTGGAGCACATTTCTCCCTGGCACGTTCATTCTCCCAGCCCTTCTAGTTTGCTCAGAGGCCTAGGAGAACCCTGGCACCAGCAGCCCCTGCCCCACAGGGTCCAGCATCAGCCTGTCCCCAGCTCACCAGGTGGAGCCCGAGGCCCCGGTAATGTAGGAGACGCAATCCAAGAGGCCCAGCTCCTTCAGGCCGGCCAGCTGCCCGTACAGGGAAGTCATTGCCCGGATCCCACCACCAGTGGCCATAATAGCTACCACTGGGATCTGGAAAAGAAGACAGCCAGGCCTGCAGAGGCCCTAGGGATGGGGAAGGCCAAGCCACAGGAAGAGGGGAAGAGGAGGTAGCAGGTCAAGTGGCCACCCAGCCCACAGCTAAGGCCTGATCACAGGTCTTGGGACCAGTTCTGAGTCAGCCCTGGGGGCCAGAAACAGCCTTAGTAAGCGCCCAGCTCCTCCAGTCCTAAGGGCTCCAGGAAAAAATGGCCCAGGCAAGTTCTGAGCCTCATCTCCTCGCCCTCAGCCCCCGAGTCTGATGCTCACTTTCTGGAAGACCCAGGGCCCGCCTTAAAATTTTCCCAAATTGCCATCACTCCCCCAGGAGATGGCCCAGGCTAATATGAACCTCCTGAGGCAACCCAGGACCAACAGGCCTCATGCCAGCTATCTGTCTCACTCCTCAGACAGGCTAGGCTGAGAACCAGGAAACAGAGTAGGAAAGTCAGCCCTACGAGGCAGCTCCCGTGTGGGCTCCAGGCACCTCAAGCAACACTGCCTGGGCCAAGTCCCTCCTAACGCCAGGCGAGAGGAAGCAGGGTGGGGACAGGCAGCTGCGAACTCTGGTCTAGATCAGGGACAAGCAGCTCCAGTGTTCAGCACTGAACAAGCAAGCCCGGGGACACCCCATCCAGCCCAGCCCCCAAACCTCGTCCTCCTGCAGGTCTCTGTCCAGCTGCAGGGCCTGCCGTAAGGCTGCGGCCACCACCTGCTTCCTCCTGCTCAGGAAGGCCTGTTCCTCTGCACAGGGCCTGAAGCCCAGTCGCACGGCCAGCTCCCTCGGTCTGGCAGGGGAGGGAAGAGAACATGAGACAGCTCTCAGCCCTCCCTAGAGAATCGAAAGCTGGGTCTGCCTCACCTGCACTGCCCACTGCCTGCCCTCCTCTCCCCAACCCTCACTGCCACTCCTGTGTCACGAGACTGAAGTCTGACACCTAGGGAGGGTGTGTCCATGTGGACATGCTTGGGAATGCAGCAAAGCAGACTGGCGGGACACAGAATTCTGTGGCCATAAGAGACTGCTTGGGGTCCCGGGTGCAGATAGGCCCCCAGGAAGGACCTACACCATGGATCCCCCCACCCAAGTCTCGTGCTCTGTCCCTCACCCATGGAGTTCAAAAATGACTACAAAGAGGGTGGATGCCGGGTGCAGTGGCTCACGCCTGTACTCCCAGCACTTTGGGAGGCTGAAGCAGGCATATAACTTGAGGCCAGGAGTTCAAGACCAGCCTGGCCAACATGGGGAAACCCTGTCTCCACTAAAAATATAAAAATTAACCAGGTGTGGTGGTGGGCACCTGTAATCCCAGCTACTCGGGAGGCTGAGGCAGGAGAATCGCCTGAACCCCAGAGGCAGAGGTTGCAGTGAGCCAATATCACGCCGTTGCACTCCAGCCTGGACAACAGAGAGACTCTGTCTCCAAAAAAAAAAAAAAAAAGACAGGGGGAGGGACAGAAAAGGGCCAATGATTCTGTCTCCGAGAGGTGAGAAGCCGCTCTCCCAAGGCGGTGGGCGACAACTCTACGAAGATCATTTAAGATCCGGCCATAACAGCTTCCACCCAAAAGGGCGCAATTTCCCCTCTTCTCTCCCTTGGTTTTCCTGCCCTCTCTGCGCCCCAAACCATGTTACCATTTTCCATCCTCACCTCCCTGCGTTTTCCAGCCAAACATTTATCAAGCGCTCCCCAGGTGCCTGGCACTGGGCTGGCCACTCACTCATCCCTCCGACCATAGGTGCTAAGGCTCCTCCCAGTTACTTCGTGCCCCCTGCTGAGCGCCAGCCTGAGTGCCTTCAGAGAGCATGAGGATGAGGGGTGGCTGTTTCTCCCCCTCACTCCTCCAGGCCTGCTCCAGCCCTGCGCCCCGGTTACTTTTCCAGGACCTTGCCCAGTCTCCAGCTAGGCCTCTCACCCTGCTTCTTTTTTCAGCTCCACTCTCATCAGGGGGTCCTGAAAACCATGAAGGCCCCCGTCACAAAGGTCAGCCACCTCCACCCAGCTCTGCTCCTCTTACCCTGACCCCAGGTGTACCACCCCCACACTGTCTCCACAGGGGCCAGGCCTGAAGCAGGGATGCTCAGAGGATACTCCCCAAAAAGCCTGGCCCCCGGCACCTGCTCAGGGTGTGGCCCACGGAGAGTAGCGGGAAGCAGGCCCGTCCCTCTGTGGCCTGGGGCCCAGCCCAGTCCAGGCACCTTGCTTCCTCCCCTGGGAGGCCAGTACCTGGGACGTGGGGAAGACAAGCCTCACCACTTGGTCAGAGGGCAGGGCACTCAGTGGCACCTTTAGTTGCTCCTTGGGGGCATCCTGTAGGGGACAAAAGACGGAGACCTAAGAATCTTTATGCTTCCGCTCCTCACACGGACCTCACCAAACTCTCACCAGCAGCCATAGAGGTATGGGAGGGATGGGCAGGGGAGGCCAGCATGGGCCCACACATGCTGCCAGCGTGCCCACACTGCCAAGTGGGGCAGAGGTCAGGCTGGGAGGAGGTGCTGAGCCAGGGTACTGGGAGGAGGTGTGGAGGGAGGGAGGAAGTTCTGGGGGCCCCACCTCCAGGGGGCGAGGCACACTACCTGCAGGTGAATACTCAGCTCCTGCTCCCAGCAGGCTGGGCAGTGGAAGCGGAAGGTGCCAGTGCCCACAGGGGCCTCCTGCGGACCCTCACAGGACCCAGGAACCACAAGCTGAACTCTGCGCTCTGAGGCTGGAAACAGGAGCCAGAGCAGAGAGGTTGAGGGCGCTATCTCTGCCCACAGAATCCATCTTGCTGGGAGGCCTGGAGAACACCTCCCTCTCCCCACTGAAATAGTCTGGTCAGGCTGGGGGTACGAGATGGAGCCCCCACCACGGTCCCCCTGAGAAGGCCTAAGGGGAAAGCTCAGGCCCCAGGGAGCCCCACAGAGAATTGTCCAATGCTTAAAGAGGGAAGACGGGCTGAGAGCCGGGGGCTGTCCCAGTGAGTTGGGGACTCACGCTTCTGGTCTCCTGTCTCCTCCAGTTGAACGTGCAAGCAGGAGAGCTCCCGGGCCTGAGTTATGAAGAGAGCCCCTCAGACACTAACCCCACCCCCATTCAGGGACCTCACCCTCCCAGCACCCTGGCTCCTACTGGTCTGCACTTCATTACCTGGACCCTTGAGATTGTATTCCCTTAACAAACTGAAATCCCAGGGTCCCCAGACAGAGGCAGCGGTGGGCCTGTGCCTCAAGCTGCTGGCACGAGGGAGTCCCGGGGACCCCAGACCACCTCCCAGAGCACTGGTCACACTCACCACCAGAACGCCATTGCCGACAAGCTGCTCGCCACGGTCAGCCCTGGAAAGAGATCCCAAAGCCCCCTTAGTAGGAGTCCAAGTTCTCACCCCACAGAGACCTGGGCATCCCCCAGGCACTAGTGCTGTCCTTCCCACGAGGCACTCCCACCCAAACGGCCCCAGGCCCCTGACTCACAGACTCTGCAGGCGAAATTCAACTTCCAGGCACCCCTCACCCTGGGAAGAGAGCCAGAAGCGAGTTAGAAAGGGTCAGGAGTGCACATGTGTCAGTGAGTATGAGAGACATGCATGTGTGTGCATGTGCATGTGGAATTTCAACCCAGACACCAGCTGGGGCTGCCGTGGAAACACCGCCTTGCCTGAGGGCTCAGTGAGAAGCTCTTGTGCCGGAACTCCCCAGCCCGCAGAGTCCCCGCATCAAACAGCACTGACAACACAGGGTCATCTCCGGTCACCAGGTCCTGGTCAAAGACTTTTAGTTCCACGACATTCTGGAGGGAAAAAGTGACAGGGCTGCAGGAGGGAGGGGACGGGAAGGTGAGCAGGGCAGCGGCAGCGGCTGGTGGGGATGTGGGTAGAGCTAGCGCTGATGCCTGGCCCACCTTGAGCTGCCTGTGGATCCTAAAGTGAAAGCTCTGGTTCCAGACAGGGCTACTGCTGTTCTTGACTGTGCGTGTCTGGAGCCTGTGGCTGCAGGCTGTGGGCAGCCAGAGAGTCACGTAGCAGTCAGAGGGGGTCACTGTGGGAAGGAACAAGTGCCCAGCGGTGGCCAAGAGCCCTTCCCAGCCACCCAGACCCACTTCATTCCATCACCTGGAGCCCCATGTGGGGTAAGACTAAGGGGAGGGGAAGTGGGGGACAGGGGCAGAGCCCCAGCTGCCACCTTCCATTCAGAAGCTCCTCTCAGCCCCCTCCTCTAGGCCCTGCCCACCAGCCCACCCGCCTCCACCAAATCCAGCCACAGCACCCTCCTCCTCAGCACCCTCCTCCTCCCTCAGCCCAGCAGAGGCGCCAGGGCGGTGCGCACTCACCTAGGTCCTTAGAGGGTAGGCGATGGGCCTTCAGGACACGAACTGTGAGCAGGCAGGTCCTGGACACCTCTGCCTGCAGAGGCGGGAGAGGGAAGACCTGCTACAGGCTGATGAAGCCAAGGGTGACAGGGGCTGCAAAGGAGGCTGGAGCAGTGCCTTAAGGCTTAATCCTGAACCCCAGGCCTGTCCTCCATCCCATCAGAATCCTGAACCAACAAGAGGAGACATGACATCTCCATGATGCCTGCCAGCACTCACACAACGCTCTGCGCCGGCTCTGGGCCAAGGGCTTTGCATACATTAACTCATTTGTCACACAACCACCGTATGCGCAGATACTATTTATGACGACCCACTCCACGAGGAAACTGAGGCACAGAGAAGCAGTCATTTGCCTGAGGTCCAGAATTGGGACTGGAGCCCGGGCAGGCTGGCTCCAGATTTATGCCTCACACCGACCTGCTTCCACCTCCTTGGGGTAGTATCCTTTAGGCTCTCCACCCCACATCCCCAGCCCACACCCCGGCTAAGCAGCTTTCAGGCTGGTCTTGGGTGGCAGGGGACATAAGCTATCGAGGGAGGGGAAGTGGCAAGTCAGGGCCTTGGGCCCCGGCTGAGCTGCTCTCGCACCCTCCCTCTACCCCTGGTCAGAAGTGCATCCTGAAAATGGGCTCTCTTCTGGGCAGGGGAGGTGGCTCCTAGCTCAGACCCCTCACAGGCTGTCGCGTCTGCCAGGTCAGGCTGAAGATGGTCCCCCAGTAGCTCCCTCCAAACCCATTCCCCGGTTCCGGGAATGCAGCCTGGCAGGCGCACCGGGACCAGCGAAGCCAGTGCCAACTGCTTCCTTTCGGCCTTCTGCCTGCCTCCACAAGGGCCCTAACAGGTCAAGTCCAGGGAGCAACCAGGTCCAGGGCAGTGCTGGAGAGCCTCATCCACCAGGGTCAGCCCAGGACCCCCACACTCCAGGCAACTGAGTCGGAGGAGCACAGAGCAGCCACTTCCTTCCAGGGCCTCAGGACGGCAGCTGGGAACCTGTGAGTCTCCAGGGCTCATATCCATGGTGTCAGGGAGCTGTGCCAGGAGCCCGTTCCCAGGGCAGAAAAAACTCAGGCTGGATCCCTCATCCCCAGGCCTCCTTCTCCCCTGGCTTCTGCCCACTGCCCTGGTCTTGTGGTCAATAAACTCCCCTCCCCACACCTGGAGAAGACCACGGCTCCCATAAGAAACATACTAACCAGGCCCCCACCGCTCCCATAAGAAACATACTAACCAGGCCCCCACCGCTCCCATAAGAAACATACTAACCAGCCCCCACCGCTCCCATAAGAAACATACTAACCAGGCCCCCACCGCTCCCATAAGAAACATACTAACCAGGCCCCCACTGCTCCCATAAGAAACATACTAACCAGGCCCCCACGGCTCCCATAAGAAACATACTAACCAGGCCCCAGGTAGAGAGCAGGGGTCAGAGTGGAGACCCAACACCCTGCCAGGCCTTACCAGAGCCATGAGACCGAGTCCTTAGGAGCAGGAATGAAGCAGTGGCCACAGGATCAAGGACTGTGGGCTTTCTGACCCAGAGCCAGGGATGTAATGTCCCAGTTGGTCCCAAGTCCCTCCCACCTGCTGCCTCTGCTCCACCTAAGCTCCACACCCACTCCTGGACCAGCCACCTGTCCAGGAAACGAGGCACCCTAAGCCTGTACTAGCGCTCCTGACACCTCTGTGGCACTCGCCAGCCATTACCACCTGGGCCTGCCCCGCCCAGCCCTGAACTCCCAGCTCTGCAATCCCAGTCCGGAGAGCCTGCTGCCAGGGGCTGAGCAGAAGGAAAGCAGGGGTGAGTCCCAGAACAGCAGCCAAGGGAACAGTGGAGTGCCCCGTCACAGGCCTTTCGCAACTCTGGCACCTGTTGGACAGGAATGCCCGGTCTTGACTGCAGGGCTCCATCAATCTGAGATGAGCACCCGGGCCCCCTCACGACAGGCAGGGGAGTGGCTGTCACATAAAACAGCCCTTCAAAGCCAGGTGCTGAGTGGCCAGGGATGAGGCCTGTGGGTTGGCACTCAGGGGCAGGGGGTTCTTCTGTCTCTAGGGTGTGGTTTGTAGGGGGTCAGAGTGTGGAGACCAACTCCTTCCTCAGAGGGACAGCCCCAGAACAGGCAGGGGCTTCTGTCCCTTCCTGCCTGTGCCTATTATGGGAAAAACAGGGGTTATCCCCAGGGCACCAGGTCCCACCTGCTGCCCCTGAACTGGGGGAGGACAGTAACTATAGCAAAGTTAGGAATAGCTCTCAAGGTCCTGGGCCGAAGAGGTCTAGGCGAGAGAGTTCCAAGACTGAGGTCTGCTTGCTTGTCCCAGGGAGGGGCTGCTGTGGCTCTCATGGACAGCGGAACTTGGGCAGCTGACGGCTCTTTGGGCCCAGGCTGGGATCCAGCCCTCACCCCCCAGTGAAGGTCACCCTGAAGTTTTTACCCGAACCTTCAGGCCCTCCTTAGAGCACAGACGGCAACTTCAAGAGGGAGGATCACAACATACGACTCACAGGCCGGGCACGGTGGCTCACGCCTGTAATCCCAGCACCTTGGGAGGTTGAGGAGGGTGGATCACAAGGTCAGGAGATCGAGACCATCCTGGCTAACACGGTGAAACACCATGTCTACTAAAAATACAAAACATTAGCCAGGCGTGGTGGCGGGCGCCTATAGTCCCAGCTACTCGGGAGGTTGAGGCAGAAGAATGGTGTGAACCCGGACACGGAGGTTGAAGTGAGCCGAGATCACACCACTGCACTCCAGCCTGGGCGACAGAGCGAGACTCCATCTCAAAAAAAAAAAAAAAAAAGAACATACAACTCACAGCTACCTTTTATTCAACATGTCCTGTGTGCCAGCTCCATGCTGGTCCTCACAGACATCATCTCCAAGCCCATGACAGCCCCGCGAGGTAGAGCCATTATCATCTGTTTACTGACAGGACACCAATGCCCGAGATGCAGTGACTCTCCCAACATCACAGCACTGGGGAGAGGTGCCGCTGCACCTGATCCCTGCTCCGCTCACCTGTGTGGCAACTTCCTGAGAACCCTCACCCAGACCTGCCTGGCACCTTGAGTCCTCATGACCACATTCCAAGATCCTCCAAAGTTGATCTCAAGCCATGCTGGATCCTGGGCCAGCAGCCAGCATGCACACTCCAGGCTCTCGAGAATTGACCCGGCCAGGGAGGGGCTGGCCCCTTCCCCTGAGGCGTGCCTGGCCGTGTTCACCAGTGCTCCATCAGTCAAGGCCTGAAGCCTTGGTGAGGGAGTCAAGCAGCTGGAAGTAACTATACTTGAGGTCGTATTCCATGTCATACCAGAAATTCACTGTGGGAAGAATGGGGATCTGTGTATGAAGGTCGCTCTTCTGACCTGGAGCCTCCCAAGCCTCCCCCTAGAGGCCCTGCTGGACCTTGGCAGGGCCTGTCCCCGGGCAGCCTGGGCAACTCCTTACCTGCAATGCAGCCCTGGGACTGCTGGACGTGGTGGAACCACAGAGCCGGCAGATAGAGCATCTCACCGGCCCGCACTGTACAGCGAAGGGCCTGGGCCTGACTGTAACTGGGGTACCGGGCTAGGTCTGGCGCCAAGGGGTCCAGTGGGATCCAGGGCACCTGGGAACACATCAGATGCCAGGGAGCAGCCCCCCCAGACACCCCAGGACTTCAGGCTGTGTCCCTTCCAGAGGTCAACACCACAGACCCTGCTCAGCTCAGCAATGAAAGGCCTCAGACTTAGGGATTTTTCAGAGCAAGGTGCCACCTCCCCAGATCTTTTGTGCCTGCTCTTCAGGGCCAGGCTTCTGCCCTTCTCCCTCCCTAGAGCCCAAGAACAGGACAGACACCTTCTCCATGGCCTCTTCGTCCACCACCTTAAAGGTGCCCTCTTCGGTTAGCTGGTAGGTTGCCGGCGTGTACAGCTCTGGAGCCCAAGGGAGAAGGGTGTGGGGGAACTGCAGACGGCCTGGAACTTGCCAGACCCTCCTCCACCCCAGCCAGCCCTGGGCAGGGGCAAGGGGATCAGGGGCCCTGGTGCAGTGGGGATGCCACAGCCACACCTCCGGCCTGGGAACTGGCCTCCCAGGCTCTTGCTGCCTCCCTCCCCCTTGGGCCAGCTGTTCCCCAGCCCCTGCAGGCCACATCCCCTACCGTAGGGGATGAAGGGCCGGTCGCTGGGCGGATGTAACAGGAAATGCTTCTCTCCTGAGACCACGCAGTAGAGGTTCTCATAGGGGTCCTTGTGCACTGCCAACATAAAGAAGGCCCGGGGGCAGGGTATGGAGGGCAGGGGCACAGGAGGTGGCAAACCATCATGCTGAGAGCCCTGCACCCCAAGACGGCCTATGACAAAAGAGAAGCACACAGAGTCAGTGGGCTGGAGATGCCAGGGGCTCTGATGGGCATTCTGGAACTCCACCTACCAGGGTCTTAATGCTCGCCAGGCCCTGGACTCCTCTCCACCAAGAGGGGAAGTTCTCCTACACCTACCCCCTGACCCGGCTGGCCTTTAGGGAGCTCTCTTTGGGTCTAGAAGAAACAATGCACCCACCCCCGATGCCATGGGTCCCTTCCCCCACCTCAGCTGTCAAGGGAAGCCCTCTGTGGTGCCCGAGTCCTAGAGGCCAAAAGAAATCTTAGAGAACAGTCAGTCCAACCTCCAACCAGGGTCTTCCCTCCCTCTGCCCCCACCTGCTCCTTCCCCACCTTTGTATTCCCGACACCTACAAGAAGTCACCGCAGCCGCCTCCCCTAGCCAGAAGTTCACAGCATCGGGCATCTTTCCTGCAGGGCAGATGGCAGAGAGCAAGTTAGGAAGGCCAGGCTGGGGATAGCTGCCATCCAGTGATGCCGGAGCCAAAACCTGGGTGAGCACAGAAGAATCCCAAGAAAGGGGTCAGGGAGAAGAGGGAGAGGTTGGGAAAGCTTGGGGAAGGGGCCCGCCCTCCCCTGGGGCAGAAGGAAGGACAACAATCTTCGGTAGTTTGTCTATGATTAAGTCAAGGCCTGGGAATGTATTTAGTGAGCTGCACCAGATGCTGACAGGACCAAGCCTGTAGGTCAGGTCATCACCTAAGGGCAAGCAGGCTGACCCCCTCCTTCCTGTATCTTCCCTGCCCCGGGCCGGGACCACCCCACCTCCACTCACCCAGGGCTTCTGAGGCCCAGGGCACATGGGATTCCAGGTCAGGCAGCAGCTGGGGCAGCTCGGTGGGCAAGTTGGAGCATTGCTTCTGCACGTAGAGGACCCCGGGGTGCTGGGCCCGGCCCTCCAGCACATCCAGCACGAAGCTCAGGGGCACGCGGCGTTCAGCCGGCATCACGAAGCGGTCCCCTCTCACGGCATCCGCGTAACCGTCTGGGGTCACGGCCACGCTCACCTCCGTGGACCCCACTGTGGCTCTAGAGGAATGGACGCTCAGCCCATGCCTAGATGCCAGTAATCACTGCTCACACCCGACCCCAGGGCAGCTCCCACCTGAAATAGGGGAGGGACCACTTCTGGAGGGCCGGCCAGTGCTGCAGAGCGTTGCGGATGATGCACGGCCTGCTGGGGCAGACCCAGTCCCGGTAGAAGTGGAGCGGAGTTGGGGGCTTGTCCAGGTAGGGCACAGCAAGAGGCACGCTGAGCTCTGAGAGAAAGAGGAAGATGGGGGATGGAGGGGCTGAAGTCAGCAGCACCCAGTCCCAGCCCAAGAGATGCCCTCCCTGGAAAGGCCAGGCTGTCACTGGGAAATGCTCATTGGTGACCAAAGGACCCTGGACAACCAGTAATAGAAGGATGAGGAGGGAAAATGAAAGCAGAAAGCATCACGCACACACGCCAGCATGGGCCCCGACCGTGCACAGGGCCAGGGGCTGCTACACAACCCATAATCCAAATCGCCCGTGGGGCTGTGTCTGCACAGTGAACCCTCTCTGCCTTCCCACCTTGGAGGGCCAGCCTCCCAGCATCTACCAGAAAGGCACCATGGAGTGGTGTTGGGAACTCCAGAATGAGTAAGGCTGAGGCCCCATGGCCACGGGCTATTCTGGGTGGGGTGTGGCTCTGGGAAGCCCCCTTCAACAGTGATATTTACTGAGCACTTGGCTTGGCTGATCTGGGGCTATCAGGGATCACACAATTATCCTGGGAAATTTACAACCTTCTTACCCAGGGAGACAAACTAACAGATGACACCAATGGAGGAAAAGGAAGGGCTGGGCTGTGGTTTGGGTCCTGCTGAACAGCATCACCATGTCCAGACACCCAGGGCCACCATGTGCACTTCCGCAGGCTGTGCGGTATGCACCTGTGCAGGGGTCTACAGTGGCCCTGTGTCACCTCTAATCAAAATCTCTTTTTGACTCAGCTTTCTTTCTCCTTCACTCCCATCATCCTACTGGTTGGCTCTAAGTCCTGTTGATTCTGTCTCCTGTGTCTCTAAAACCCACCGTCTCCTCTCCTCCACTGGCATCCACATTCCAGCTACCTCCTTTGGGTCCTCACTCAAATATCACATTGATAAGGCTTCCTTCTCTGACTATACTTTCTAAATTTATAATCTGTCCCCCTCCCCACTGTCAAAAA